GGAGTATCAGGCACCACGAACGATTTATTTCAACATCAAGGCCAAGTCGGACATAACATTCTTTTCCAGATTGTTGGTGCCACAATAGTCCAAGAAACAATACCAAAGGATTGGAAAACTGGACTATTGTATTGCATCCCAAAGGCAGCAGAATGGTCAGGAAGCATGGCGGAAGTCAGGCCGATTGCGCTTCTAGAACATGCAAGAAAAATCATGTTCACAGTTCTAACCAATAGACTTAGTGAAATGATGCGGCGTCATAACATCTTGCGGGGGCCTAACTTTTCTGTCTTAAAAGGAACGACGACAAAGGACCCAATTCATATCCTCCAAGCAGCAATGGAAGATGCTAGAGAGTTTCGCAAGGAGCAATGGATAGTGTTCCAAGATATGAAAAGGTGTTTTGATTCGGTCAATTGTGCTTCCGATGGTATGTTGTCCAGAGGACTACGTCGCTTACGAGTTCCAGAGGCATTTATCAGGTTGTGTGAGAACATCGCTGTTACCAAGGTCAATAGAGTTATTACAGAATACGGGCTTACGAAAGAGTACCGCCCAGAATGCGGTCTGGATCAAGGAGGCGTAGAGTGCCCTTTACTCTGGCGAATAGCTTATGATCCACTACTATGTGAAGTTATGGACCACATGAAGGGATACAGAATAGAGGGCCCTCCAGATACACCTCAGCTCGCATGTCTGGCTTTTGTGGACGACACGACATGGATATCTGACTCCAAGCAACATGTACAGGATATACTAGATGTCGCCACGTCCTTTTTTGTTCTTAACGGGGTCGAAATCAATGCGAAAAAGACGCAGGTGCTAACACTAAACAGCAAGCTCAACGATAACAGTAATCTCCATTTTGGTACACCGGCAGAAGAAATCCGCCCGCTGGGCAAAGATGACCCTGTCCGGATACTAGGTGTCTGGGTAACAGCCAGAGGGTCGGTGAAGACAACAGAGAACATTGTAGAAAGAGAAGTCACGTCAATGTGTAGTATTCTCTCCTCAAAAGCAGTAACCGACAAACAGACAGCATATCTCATCAATAACGTCCTCATACCCAAGGTGCTTTATAGGATTTCGGCACAGATACTTCCCCCTTCTTTTGTGAGACGAATGACAGGTAAGTATATGAAGCTATGTAAGAGCAAAGCACGTATGCCGTCAACCACACCCAACAGCATAATGCATCACCCTAGATTCTATGCAATTAAAAACTTAGAAGACGCACAGACAGAGGAGCAGATATCAACCCTGTTCCTACGCCTAAATGACAATGGGTTGATGGGACGTATCTGTAGAGCACGTCTCATTGCCCTCCAGAAGCGCCTTAGGACGAGCAAGCTCCCAACTGCAGAGCCACACAAAATAAAAGCATACAAACACAACTTCGCATCAAGCGTCTGTAAACTAATGGCCGATCGACAAGTGAAGTTTGACTTGCAACTAGCAAACGATTTTGGGCTCCCTGGAAATGCTCTCAATATAGCAGACATGCTTCATGGCATTGTGGATGACCAGCCTGTGCGGGAATTAGCAGCAAGAGGAATATATTATGCTGAGCAAACTCTAGACGAGGATTCGTCACTCAAATCCTGGAATGAGGTACGTACGAAAAGGAGAGACCCAAAGGCATCTCCAGCATGGTTCCACAATGTTCAAAATGCCCTTCATGAGTCCCTTTACACACACAACTTTATCGAAGTATGGTGTAGAGACAAAAAGAACATTCTTCAGAGACTAGACGAAGAGGAAGAGAGAGATTTAAGGGAGCTCCAACAGCTAAATGAGGCTGAAAACAATGAGAGAGCAGATGAACTACTCACAGAAGACAATATGTTGGAGGAGCAGCCCACTGAGGATGATGAGGATGATGACGTTGGATATATAAGTTACCTCAGTGACGTGGAAGAAGACCCCAGAGAGCCACTTGATCCCCTAAGTGTAGAACAGCGGGAGGAAAGAGAAAGAAGAGCACAGTGTTACATACAAGAGGGTATGCAGGAGTATGAAGGATACACTGAGTCTGATCGCGAACTCCAAAAAGAATACTTGCGAGAAAATTTTGAAAAAAGAGAGCGTTTGAGAGAAAAAGAGCGCGAAGCTAACGAGAGGCATAGGCTGTGGAAAGATCCTCAAGGAAGGAAAATGTTACAATTTCGCGACCGTTTGGAAAGAGGGAAGAGGGAGCAATGGTTGCTAAGAAAAATAGAGCAAGAGAGGAAAAAAGAAGAGGTGGAGAGAAGGAGAGTGTGGCGACGTGAACAGTGGGTGCAAGCCAAGCAAGAAGCCGCACACTCGAAGGCTATCGAAAGAGCTCGCCGTCAAGAACGCCTACGGTTACAGGCTAGGTTTCAAAGGCTCGATGAACAAGGAAGAAGAGAACAGCGACGACGAGCGGCTTTCAACCGAGCAAGACGTAGAGCACAAGAGCGAAACAAGATACGTGGACGCCATGAACTCGATGAACAAGCTCTCGATAGGAGGCTCAGGACGAAAGCGCAAGAAGAGATGGACTCCTCAAGAACAAGGAATAATAAAATCCCAGAGGGTCATCATCGGTGGTTTGGCTCCTCTGAGTGCCTAGGTGTAGAGATCCCACAGGTTGACATGGACAATATACTGCGTCAAAGAGAGAAACTATCAACGATGAGTCAGCTAACACTTTACTCCGATGGGTCCCTTGAAGAGGCAGGAAGAAGGGCGGCGCGGATGGCTTTCGGGGTGGTGGCTCAGATAGGCCCAGAAAGCTTCTCAAATGTAGTTTCAGGTAGAGTCGATGGGTATGCTTCATCCACCAAGGCAGAGCTAGTAGGACTGTACGCAGCCATTCTAGTCAGTCCCCGTAACGTTCCAACGACTGTCTACATAGACAACATGGCGGTAGTGGTTCAGTTCAAGGACCTTGCTCAAAAGCGAGAAGCAAGCACTGAACGGCAGCGATTGCGATCCAAGTACGCAGTGTGGTGGGCAGCCATTTCGAGAGCGCTCTTTAAGCAGGGCGGGAAGGTAACTGTGAAATGGGTCAAGGGCCATGCTGGGAATAGAGGCAATATAAGGGCAGACCAAGCCGCCAAAGATGCTCATTTTAGCGAAATGTGGACAATCAAAGTACTGGAACACAACGATCTGCGCTGCCACGCTATTTTCGAGAACGAGGTGGTGGAGGATGATCTTAGACACCTGCTAAAACTCCAATCAGCAGTGAGAACACATTACTTGTGGGCGTCTCAGAACAGAGTCAGGAATTATATTGCAGACTGGCGAGAAGTAGAATGGAAAGCAAGCCTGCATATTCTTCACGATGGCAACACGCCTAGAGGCCTCTTCACCAGCCCAGCAGATTGTCACAAGAGAGCGCACAGAATAAAGAAGGTCCATGGTATGCTTCCTACACTCACTTATATGAGGCAGTGGCGACCGGACCTGTATGAGACTGACATCTGCAGGATGTGTGAACAGGAGCAGGAGGACATAGAACACCTCTGGCGATGTCCCATGACACTGGACGAGCAATTGAAAGGTTGGAAGCAGGCCATAGAACTCATCACGAAGGATGGCAAAAGAGCATTAGTGAAGGAGAAGAAACTCTGGGAAGACAAACAAGGGAAAACACAGGAGCCAAACCTGAATAAAGGAGGCCCCTCGTTTACACCTGTAGCCGACAACGTGATTTGGGGCTCTTTGGAAGCGATGTTCAAGGGCGTCAGAGAGATTCGACATGCGAGCACTCTGTTTGGTGAGGAAGATGTGGATATGGGACGGAGGAACGAGGGTGAGGATGCCCACTGGACTGTCCAAGACTTGTACCACGGTTTGGTGCCGAAGGAACTGATACAAAAATGGAAGACGATCTTCAGAACCACAGCATCGATCTCAAGGTACATTGTTTGCCGCTTTGTCAAGTCAATCGAGGAACTCGGCAGGACTGAAATCTGGAACAGACGCTGCAAAGTCACCGTCAACTGGGAAAGAGAAAATGGTATCACCTCTGTGAGCAAACGCGCCAGGGGACGCAACTGTGTTGGGAGGCACAGACGTAGCAGAGGTGAATTCTTTGGCTCTCACCAGGGACAACGACGAACAGCAGATGTGAAGGCGATCAGGACTGAGGCAGACCGGCGAGTGGTGGCAAGCTACCGGCAGCAGGTGGAATTGGCGATTATGGAGCGCCTGGAAAGCTGTAAATTTTTGATGATTGAGGACAGCGGCTAAAGGATGACCTTCGCGCACAACAGGCCAAGTAGGGAGTAGAGCCGTGCCACAGGTCCTCTGGGACCAAGGAAGTCTACTCAATGCTGACGTGGTTTATGAACAGGATGTAGTACTGTGGCAGTATAACGATGCGGCTTCGGCCGATTATTGGATACCGCTTTATTTGCGACCCCAGTAATGGGGCAACCCATTTATAGAGCTAACATCAAAATAAATCCTACATGACCTCGTGGGTCCTTGTTATCAAAAAAAAAAAAAAAAAAAAAAAAAAAAAGGCTTCCAGACTAACAACTGAAGGTTTTCGGCTCAATTCCCTGCGAAAGGGCAAGTTTACTACTCCAAAATTGAGCCAATACCTCGAGGGAAGAAGTTGGGTGATGGGGCTTGCTCTATGGTCTAGAGGTGATGAGTCTCACGGAATGCGCGTGGAACGACCTCGAAAGAACGACCGAACGCTAGGCGAAACAGACATTAACCTCCATCATCCATGTTAGTTTTATAGTTCACGCCCTTGCTTTGAAATGTGCGATAGAGAATGCTAAAAAATAGAAGTATATATTGTTCTTTTGTGTATTCAGTTGCAATGTACTAAAAAAGAAGACCTAAGCGTGGAACGAAGCCCTATAGGGCCAATAGTGAAGGAGACTATCGTTTCTCGCTATGGATATCAATAGATTAGAAGCACCAACCAAGAAAATACCAGGCAAATAAGCTATTATTATTTTACTAATTCTATTTTTTTTTTTTTTTTTTTTTGTTCTTGTGCTTCTATTCCACTATGCCTACTGAAGGTCCAATCAAAATCGATCCAGCGCTCCTCGAGATGCTGATGCAAGCGGAGACATCAACAACCAGCGAGCATGGTGAACAGGATCCTCATTCAACATCACAAAATAAAGATGAATTGATAGTAGTTCCGAGTAATAGCACTCACGACAAAAAAACATTTACTAAACTGGCCTTTGAACCACAACCGAAATACTATTTGGAAGCTCGGGTTATCCACAAGAGAAAGCTCTCACGAAAGCTATTTTTCTTGGATGTATCATTAGTACGTCGTAAAGAAAAGACTGTAGACCTGAATGGAAATAAGAAAGAAGGCCAAGAGAATGACGATCCGATCATAGATATCATGGCCAACGAACCAGAGCAGTCTCCAACGTCAAGAAAATTAGATATTGTAGCAGGTGAAACGACAGCATCAAGTGATTCGAAAACAGATGGATTCGCCCTGAGCGAATGGGAGGATATTGAAGTTGTGGATCATTATCGCAGCGACAGCAAAGGCCGTATCAGAATGGAAGTGATTGCACGCTTTCCTGTCCACTCGTTGAAAGGACTGGACGATTTATGGCGTAGAGTTCAGTTAGGATCAGTTGTCAGAGTCATTGGTGATATTGAGCTTTCAGGAAGACATCACAATAATATGAATGATAGTACTCATGCACAAGACAGTCGGGAGGCGCACGATGGATGGAAAAAGAAGTGGTCTGCAATTTTACATTGCTTAGAATTTGAGGTATTAGAGCTTTGGCAAGGCAGCATGTCATTCGAGCCGATCTCTGGTTCACCGCCCTCATCGTCATCTAATGTTAAAGACAGTGGTCACCGTGAAAATAGCAGTAGTTCAAGTGCTTTAGAACAAGAAGGACGGAAGCGAAAGGGGGATGAATTATTGAGAGAGCGAGATATGAAGGCATCTCGGCCCAAAGGTGCAGCTGGAGAGACAGTGGAAAAACAGCAACAAAGGGGTGATGAATCACAGCCACATTGTAAATTCTGGCTCAATTCTGGCAAATGCAATAAGGAACAGTGCTTATTCTGGCATGAGACCAATCCAGTGAAACTCAAAGCTGAGCGACGGAGATGGGTTGAAGAGGTAAAAAATAATAATAATCGTAGACTAGTGAATTTTTTTTTATTAATTTTTTACTGACATATCCGCTGAGAAAATAACGTTTACTACTACAAACAGCGCATCCAAGCTAAACGTCAGATCTCGCATCATATCTCTGATCCGCATCAAAAAACAACCAAAAACCAACATCGCGAAAGAGCGTTGTATTTTGCTCACTGGCTCATCAAGACTTTTTCTCGTGAATTTTTGAACTCTGGAACTGGTGTACTGGACATTGCTGGAGGCAGAGGCGATTTATCCTGGGAACTCCAAACGAGACAAGGCATCAAGTCCACTATCGTTGAGCCTCGACGAGGGAAAGGAATGCGCAAATGGCAGCGCAAGTGGTTGGAAAATTTTAAGGCAAATAGCATACCGTCTATGTCGCCAACATCACCATTACAACAACAGCAACAGCAACATATCACAGGAGCTGAATCAACGGTAACAGAGAAAGATGTGTCAGGTTCTAAGGTAGTTAGGACCAAGAAAGAAATACTTGAAGACGAAAACAACGATGCGGACGAGAAGGAGCCAGACGGCGGGAAAGCCCTAGAGAACTTAGGTGACTTCATTCCTACCACATTAGTATATCCTCCTCTTCAGTTGACAGAGCCTTCACGGATTCAAGCGATGTTAAACGACGAATTCCTGGAGACTCACCAGCAGCTGGTCACGGAAGCCTCCATCATGATTGGCCTCCATCCTGATCAGGCAACAGAGCCGATCGTAAGAGTAGCGCTCAAGCTTGGTAAACCTTTTGCGGTTATCCCTTGTTGTGTCTTTGGACGTGATAATCCTCATCGTCGGCTACCCGAGCCTCCAATAGATGCAGATACGCCTTCTCTTCGCACTGAGCGGACAAAGAATGAAGACGAAGGCCAAAGTGATACCTACAGACGTTTGACCCGCCCAGTGACATCTTATGATGATTTTGTAGCTTGGCTATCGATGCTCCATCCTAATATCGAAACGACATGGTTAAATTTTGAAGGTATGAACCGCGTTCTTTTTTGGCGTGGCCCTTCTCAATCTTTGTCATCGATAGTCAAATCAGCATAAAGCTTTAACAAAGATGTACTGAAAAGCAACAAAATAAACAAAATAAGAAGCTGGCAGGAGTAGTTTTATGAAACAGGTCGTTTTACTATTTATTGCTGATAGATAGATATATATTTTGGGCTTCTTTCGTTCTTTATCCAACATCTTTGACTACATTTGTATTTAAGGGAAGGCACCAAGGATAGATTCAAAGTCACGACCGACGGCAATGTTGACATCACCCAAGCCAGTACCGATGCTGCCCCAGTCAACGTAGCGATAGGTGCTGTCGTTGTTGAGGACAATGCCGGCAATCCAGTCGAATTGGATGGGGAGGTGTCCATTGGCCTTAGCATAGTTCACAATATCAGTCCACTGAGCTTTAGAACCGGCACCAAAATCAGTGACAAGGCCTACATTGAATGAAATTGTAGTCGAGCCAGTACCTGAGACTGAGAAGGTCAAATTGTCCATGAAACGGAACAGGTTGACTCCACTGATACCGGCGGCGCTGCCGATTATTGCCATGCTATCATAACCTACAGTTTGAGCATCCTTGAATTCCAGAGGGAGTCCATAGTAGGGTGACTGGAAGGTGGCAGTGACTTGGACCACACCATCAGTGTTAGTGTTTGGGAGCGTCTTCAGAGACCAGTCCTTATGGGGTGGTTGCGACATGGTTAAACCTTGGAAGTTCTGAGGCACGACCATCTGGCTCGACACAGTAGCCAAGCCCGCATTGAGAGCAGGGTTCTGAGAAGATGATGCATAACCTGTCAAAGTGAGTGGGACATCAGCATTGGGGAGATCAAGCATAAGTTGCTGAGCAGCGGAAAGTTTTGTATCCAAGGAGGTGAGCGAGAGCAAATAATTGTCACCAGGTTTCAAAGTCAAGCCGCTGACGGTTGAAATACCAGCAGGTTGGCCTTTATAGGAAGTACTGAATCCAACGTCACCGAGTGACAAGGTCAGCTTGCTGGGGTTTACGATGTTGATGATGGAGGACAAACGCATGAAGCCAGGCTGGGTCGCCATATCTGTATCAACCATGTAGACGTACTTGACCTGCTTCAAGTTATCGAGGCCTAAGAATGGGACAGTTGCCTTGAAGCCAATGCCTGAAATAGTTCTTTTGCCAAGGGGACCCAAGTTCATTTGAGCATCCACGGATCCTTTGAGTGTCACGGGATGGGACGCCTTGGTAGACAGGGAGCTAATAAAGCCCGAGAAGGCCGCGTGTGACGATGAGAAAACATTCAGGGTTGAGGAAGCGAAGGAGCTCGTCAGCTTAGAGCCACTGACGCTGGCAGGGGACCATGGGGTTTCGATGTTGCCAATCTCAACACCATTGTCCTAGCAATGGCACAAAAAAAAAAAAAAAAAAACATTTAGAGCAAATTTTATAGCGGCAATAAGAGGGAAAAAATAAAAAAAAATAAAAATAAAAATAAAAAATAAAACACACATACAACGATAATAATGTGCTGGCGGATAGAGGTAATAGGGAGAGAAATACCAGGGATACCAAGCATTGTGGCGACAATGCTGCTGGAGGACGTAGTAGGTGCCCATGGGTTAGATGGTGTGAAATCCATAGACATTTGATTGACCTCAATGCTTTTAATCAAACCCATATCCACCTAATACATTTTTTTAAAAAAAAAATATATATATATATATATGCATCCCGTGTTAGTTGTACGTATTTCGAGAGGAATAAAGCTAGGTAATGACAAGTAAAATAGTCGCAAATCATAAAAGGGCATACAGCAACGGCTGCTTGACAGGATCCTGGCCAGGCTCCAGTAAGGAGAAGGCTATGTTGAATGATCGAGAAAAGATAGGATCATGAGCGTTTGTTCCGATGAGACACAAAGTAAGCTTTCGCGACGGATTAGTTCAGATAAAAGGGGGTAAATACCCAACAAAGCACGCGGCAATGCGATCAGAAGTGGCATCACGTTTCTCGATTGGGGCGGCGACGGCAGCTGTGGCCAAGAGTGCGCTTACTGCGACGACAGCTTTCAAAGAGAGCTTCATGATTGTACCAGAGTAGGGGCAGAAAGGAGTGGATAAAAGGGGGATGAAGATGAATGTAGGGAAGCGAGGCTGAGAGATGTAAAGATCTGAGGAAAGTAGAAATCCGGTTGGAACATTGCCTCGTTTTTATACTGTTTAGCAGCAACTTGACTCTTTGTATCTGTGTGTCTATACAAAGAAACGAACGTGAAAGCCTGTTTTGTGATTTGTACGATATTGCGTTGTAGTGTTTGTGAAAAATGGGAGGTGGGATCTACACCGCTCTGGAGTAGGAGATGGGGTCCAAGCATCAGCACAGAGTTTTGGAGATATCTGATTTGCATGTTGCATTCTCACTAATTTAGCTTTTGTTACAAAGGGAAGTCGACAGAGAGTACAAACAAAAACAATAGCCATTGAAATACAAACATTCCAAAGTCCCAAAGTTCAGGCCATGGCAGAATCAAATGAAATTCAATGGCTCTCAACACATGCTTGCGTTTCCTGTTATCTATGCTCCACACCATACATGCATCAACCACAAGACACACACGTCTTGACAGCAGCGAGAGCAGCGCTTGCACCATGCTGAGCATAGTTTGTGGCATTTGCGTGCATTTTATAGTTTCGTGCTTCCCAGGGATCCTGACAGAGAGCCACAGATGACTTCAGCCTCCCCCTCCATGATGCAGGGACGTCAGTATAGATGGCAAAGTTGATAAAAGCGAATATTTAAAAAAAAAGAGAAAAGAAGTAAAATAAAAAATGAAGCAGAGTCATCACTCATTACTATACTATAGCTCTGTTCAAGTTGTGGAGGCAATTAATCTGAATCTGCTTTCTCGCATATTCATCAGTAATCAGCTTTCCCCCCGTCTCTCTTTCGTACCATTACTCAATGTCTTTCTGGACACAAGCAAATGTGGCAAATGTGGAGAAAGAAAAAGAGGGAGTCATCCGATAAAAAAGTTGAGAGCAGTAAACATCATTTCTAATCGTGTATTCCACGGTTGCAATACATGCATCCAAGCAAGAGAGGCGGCGAGATCCATCAAATTTTTTTTGTTAATAATTCTGATGACCCTCAAAATGGCTTATTCACGTCTTTTTCTATATCCTAAAGTGACTATAGACGCGTCTGTCGAAACGATGAATAATGGATATAAACATCTCTTCATATTCCCTCACTTTCCCCTTGTCCTTCTCCCTAGTTTACATATGGCACCATCCGTGGATCGGATAGGATGCACATTCTCAGTATATAGCCCTATAATGCGACATGGCGCGACTATAATGTTTATTTTACGCCATGCAGCGCATACGTCCTACTTTTGAGTTCAATGTTCAGCTGAAAAAGTTTGCTCTACGCCAAATTTTAATAATTCTTGTTTAATGTCTAAAATATTTGGAAATCAAAATCACGCCAGTTTTTTTTTTTTTTTTTTTTTTTTTTTTTAATCCTTTACTCGATTCGATTACCTCTCCCCCTGCCTTGCCCTTATCCTCCTTTCACTTTCTAATAAGTATAAATGTGTTTCGACACAAACTCTCTTGCTGCCTTTGATCCCTGGTCGTGGTATACTGCCCCGACAATGGCTTCCATCGTTTGCGCCAAGACTGTAGTTTCTCCGACTTTTGCCCCTGGTGCTGACTAAAATAACAAAAACAAAAAGAAAGACAAGATAGAAAAAATCAGAATAGAAATAAATCATAATCAGTAAATTAAACGCCACAAAACCACCAAAAAAAAAAAAAAAAAAAAAAAAAAAAAGTAATAGGAGGAAAAGTTCAATAAAAAGATGATGCAAAATTATGAGATATATCCTGCGTTGCTTCTTTACCGACGGTGATTTCCAGCGCATTGCTTCATCCACACCCATCGACCGTGCAATCTTGGCTAATGTGTCCATCCTAAGTGAATGTGAGACTGATGCTTTCAACGTGTCGTTAGACTTAGTCTTGTCCCAGTTCTGTTCAGTGACATGAAGCTCCAAAAATGTACGCCCTAAGAAAGAAAGAGATAGCAGTAATGATGAGTATTAGTCCAAACCTATTCAAGGTCTAGCATACTTTCTTTCGAGTCCTTCGTTTGCTTCTGACAGATCTTTTTTTTTTTTTTTGTTTATTTATTTTTATGAGGTACAGCAATATTTATGCCGTATATATCCCTTACCTAGGGCCCCAAGTCTCTCATTCGTGGGTACAGTGGCGTGAGCAAATGATTTATGTGTAATAGATTGGGTCATAAGTTCTGGGTCCGAAAGTTCAATGCCGAGACGCTTATAGACTGCACTAGCTTTTACGGTATCCTCCTGAGAAGTTGGTTTAGTAGAGAGATAAGCACGAGCCTCATGATTGATGTCTAAACATTATATTGGGAGGTAGAAAGACGCCATAGCCTTTAGAACTGATGTCTTTCGATCCAATGATGTTCCTGTTTCCTGTTCTGTTCCTATTTGCATCTACATCTTCCCCTCATTTTCATATCGCCTCTTAAAGCCCACTCTTTAGTCGTCTTTGCTGGCGCTTCACTCCTATGGTCGACTTAGCATGACAAATTTGCCCCTCTCTTTTTATTCTCTCGTCAATAGAAAAATAAAAATAAAAGCTTCCGAGCTGATCTTTATAAGCTCCTTGTGCCAACATTTCAATTGCTTACATCGATTGACATTGGTGACCAATCGAGTTGGCTTAATAACGGATACTCTCTGAAGCATGACTGTCTGTTTTTATATTACTTGAAGTTTCAGGTTGAAGGCTGCAGTGATGGACAAGCAGGGACAGTGCAAGCGCATGAATGGGTGCGGGCTCCCTTGTCTGTCTACAACAGAGAACCCTTTCTGTTAAGCCACACTGTTTACTTGTGACTATTCTATAATAATAAAATACATTTTTTTATTAACGAGATTTAGTCCGAAAAAAAAGTGCCTAGTCAGAAGATATTCCACGCTTATGGCAATGGCTCATCGCTGTTAGAGATTCTGTTCAAATGCAAATAGACATCTGTGCCGTATCTAAACAAACCAAAAGATGATCAAGTGAAAGTATACGGATTAAAAGTTAGTTTTCATTAGCATTACTGTAGTAAGAATATAGAACTATTGGAGAGTCATCTCCTAAAAAAGGCCATTAGGTTTGTGCATACCCCTCCATAGAAATCAGCTTCAAGTCGCCTCCAAAGTATCTTGCATACAGACGACTAATAGGAAGTCCGTAACCAAAGCCTGCCATAGGGGCCTTGAAGTCTGACTTATCGAAAGTTGGATCCAGATGCTGCGACGGTGCAGTTGTATACATATATGTCCAGACTAATGGGACGCCGCTTCTAGGGATCCCACCTCCTTCATCAGAAATCTTGATCGCAATATCCTGTTGTAAAAAGACCAATAAAACATGAGACTTTTTTTTTTTTTTTTTTTTTTTTTTTTTTCCTTTCTTTTCTTTTTTTGCTTTTTCTTTTGTTATTTTTTCTTTTTTTTTCAAAATGACAAACAGCCTACTTCTTTTCCTTGCGCAACAATAAGTTTAATGGGTGGAAATTCCTCGCATTCTGTTCCATATTGCTCCACGACTGCACGGAGGGAGTTCTTAAGCAGTTCAAAGAGCATGTGGCTCAAATGGGAAGGAACATACATAAACTCAAGGTCCTTCTTGCAATGAAGGTGGACTTCTGGCCCACGGAACAAACCATAGTAATCCTCACAGATGAATTTGGCATTATCGATAGCCTCCTGCGCCATATCCGCAAGGTTTGTCCTCGTACAAATAATGCCCACATAATCTTTACGTGATGGTCCTTTGTTCAGAGCAATATGCTGACCTATATATACCATAGTAAAGAAGTGTTGGTGCCTTACTGCTGTTTAACAATCAACTGGTCGGCGGTAAGAGATCAAAGAACATACCAATCAGCATACGGATTCCAATACGAGACATATAGAATCGATCCAGGAACGCCTGTACGTCCGTGTCAACAGTAGGTGATGTTTTTTGCTGTTTGAATTCGAGAATTCCTTGAGCTATAAGCGATTGATATGCAATTAACGAGAATTAGACAGCTTTTCGAGAAGGAAAAAAAATAAAAATAAAATAAAATCAATGCCCGATTGAATATGATAGCCTTAAAAAACCAAAGACCGAAATGAAGACAAGGTTGCGCCACTGCTTGAGTAAAGTTCCTCCCGCCTTGCTCACCGACCATTTTAGGCATAGACTTGTGATCCATAGATCTTTAGTATCCCTTACTTACCAACTGTAGTGACGACAGGATCGTGTCTACGCTTTACGGCTTCAATCATCTTTGTAAACTTTTCGTTGTATGCATGCATTTCTGCAGGCCACTCAGTTCCGTCCATAGCACTATGATATCTTTAGCGATGAAAACAAAAAGATTGCCCATCCATGTCCAATGGGTTCCATTTCCATGAGATCAGATAAGATCATGTAGCTTTTACTAATTTAATCTTTCTCAAACATCACATCATACGGACATGCGGAAGGAGAAGGAAAAAAAAAAAAAGTCTTTCTTTACCTGTGCGATAACGAAACTGCTCGACGGCCGTTCTGGTTGCTGCCATTGGGCATGGCCAAATTTGGAGAATTCCCTGGTAAGGCCTGCATGTCTGCCTGCTTATTCATATTTTTGGCCAAATCCTTGAGTGAAGAGGACATCTCACGGTTAGGGAATTCAACAATGTCCTGTATATCCATGGAATAAGCAAATTTAAAAAGATGGCAAGTGTTAGTTCCGCAAATTTCCCAGCCTCTGAAAACAAATTAAAGGGTATTGTTCATGAAAAAGCTATTTGTAGATGATGAAGAATGGTACCTGGAAAGATTGGGCATACCAGTTCTTGACACGGACGATTGAGGGCATATCACTGAGGTTATAAGGAAGGTTTTCGAGTTCCTTGACTCTGTGGGCAAGACGGATAGGTAGTTCCTCTGATAAGAATTGGCTGGCTTTAAACAATGTCCCCTGAGTTGGATTTTGACCTAAGAAAACATAATGGAGTTATAAAGCTTGAGCAAGTCATGTCTATTTTAAATTGCATTTCGTATTCGAAAGGGAGGGGGAGTGGCTCTTACCAAACATGACCATCTGTCTTAATGAGACGCCTGTTTGAGGAAATGTTGCAAAGTGCTTGATCCTTTCGGAAAGCTGAGGAGTGATCCGGTACATGGTTGGTTACTGATTGTTGCAAGGAGTAGAGTGGGGAGGGTGAAGTGTAAAAAGGAAAGAGAGGAAAGGGACGTCGCAGTCGTCTACTTCCTTGGGCGATGTCGAAAGATGATGCGCGTAGGAAGAAAGGAACTGGGAATGAAAGAAAGAGGGAAAGAAGGAAAGGTGCATACACATTCACATATACACGCAAAGAGACACACGAGACCGATGAGAGGAGCAGGGGAACCAACTTCTCACAGGAAAGGGTGACTTTTTTTTTTTTTTTTTTTTTTTTTTTTTCGTGTCTTTTACGCTTCACACATGCTTCGCGTCTAAAATATTCTCGAGTTCCCGTTGGCTGGTGAAGTCGTAAACAGGCAGGCAAACATACAAGTGTTTTATACAAAATATCAATCGCAGAACATGTAGCATTCATACTCCCGATGTTATATGGTTACGTCCACTATCTACCGCCCAAGTTATTCAGCTACCATTCTATCGCTTGGTAGAAATCAGAACTTCATAGACATGGTGATAATAAAAGAGTTGGGGATTTTTTGTTGACGTGTTTGATCCAATGGGTTTATGATTTTAATTTTAATTTCAAATTGTTTAGACGATTTGAATAAATTGGTTGTTGGGGGGTAGAGAGGGAAACCCACCGAATTGATCTCTTTCATTCTTTCTCTTCACTTTTCCTCATGACTACCGCAACCAAGCAAGTCCCCGCTACCAGTATGTTCTTCATCACTTCCACTTTATGGACCACATAGGATTCATCGTCTCCTGTTTTTTTTTTTTTTTAGTGTTTGCTTATCGGCTAGTTCACTAACCGATTCTTTTGATTTCACTTTAACCAGCTCCGGGTAAAAAAGTGAAGGCTGTTAAACCTGTCAACCCAGTTGTCAATCTGTATTTGATTGCTTATAACTGGGCCTCCTTCGCTGGTTGGTCCTGGGTACTTGTCCAAACTATCAGAGCTCTACTTGCTACTGGAAATGATTACACCAAAGTCTATGCTGCCGTGGGTGATCAGCTCGTCTGGGTCCAAACTGCTGCACTTCTCGAGGTTTTCCATTCTCTCTTTGGGTTTGTCAAGTCGCCTGTTGGTACCACTACTATGCAGGTCGCTTCACGTCTTTTGCTCGTCTGGGGTATTTGCACCATGTTCCCAATCCCAGAGGTAAGCATGCTTTAGAGTCGATTGTTCCAATTACTTTCTAAAGGTTGCAACTAACAAAAAGCCTTATTTTCTACTTGTAATGAAAAAAAAAAGGTTCGCCAACACTGGGCTTTCACTACCATGACCATCGCCTGGAGCATTACGGAGTGCATCCGCTATGCTTACTATGCCCTTAATCTCACCAACATGGGTCCCTCATGGTTAACCTGGTGCCGGTATGTGTCATTTTTAACGCTTGCATATTGGATTTGAAAGGGTGGAGCAACAAAATGTTGCACATCACACCCAATGGATTGTCGGACCGAGCAACTCAGCTTATTTATATATATTTTTATTCTTTTCAGTTATACTTTCTTCTATGTCCTTTATATTGTTGGTGCTGGTAGCGAGGCTATTGAGATCTACCAGGCTCTTCCTTTTGCAAGCAATGTCAATCCCGCATACTACTATGTTTTGGCTGCTATACTTTGCATTTACCCTCCAGGTATGATCATTGAGCCTTTCTTTTTTTTTTTTATGTATTGATATCGAGTGCTTTGTTTGTTAACCTTTTTTTTTTTTTTTTTAACAAAGGTTTCTTTGTGATGTATACTCACATGATCGGCCAGCGTAAGCGTTATCTTAGATCTATTAAGTCTAAAAAGTCAGAGTAAGCGTACATAGTTACGCGTGTAATACAGCTTCAATAGCTAGGAGTAGTAATAGCTCAAGTAGTGGCAATTTATTGAAGCGATCTTATTAGCTCTGTTAGATGAACATTGAATAAACTGTCGATCATTCCCAACTTGAAAAAAAGCAGTCCGAGATGAAAGACTGAGACGCTTTGTCCCGACGATCGTAATGAAGTCATAATGGGTTTTATCTGAGAGTTTTTTTTCTTTTTTTTCCCCCTAATCTTGTCTTCTCATTACAACCTTACAAAAAAAAAAAAAAGAAAAAGAAAAAGAAAAAAAAAGACAGCAATCATGGTTAAACTGGAAGAAGTTGGTCTTGATCACGTCGAGGAAGAATACACTGATACCGACTCTTCCTCTGTTTATTCTTCTGATGAGGACGAGGACGATGTTGACAACATTGAGTCGATCATGGACAGAATCTGGGCATTGCAAGATGTCATTCCTGCAAAGACTCGCAAGTCGATCTCGGAGAGGTGTTCGTCTATTTATTCTTGGGGCAAGTATGGCGCAAAGTTCTTGGGCAATTCAGCCTGGGTTCTTACCACGAGCGCATTGCTTCTTGTCTTACCACTCATGATTGAGCTTGAACACGAGCAAGGGCTGATCGAATATGAGAAAATGCAACAACAGGGTAGTCAGGCAAGTCTTTTTTTTTTTTTTTTTTTTTTTTAATCTCATATATTTTTATTGAAATGCTATGCATGTTTGCTACTATAAATCTCTCATTCGATATTCAGTGGTCAAGATCATCAACTTCTTCTTAACGTTTTTTTTTTTTTATTATTTTTATACAGTTGCTTTCTCAACCTAGTGGTCAACAAACACAGCAGCAGAAGAAGCAGGCTGGTATTGTTCCTCCTGGGTTTTAATTCAAAAAATACCACAGGGGATAGAATAAAAAAAAAAAAAGCATGAGTGGAGCGCAGGGGATCCTTCCAAGCAAAAAGTCAAAGCGCGACCACGGATATGTACTATAGTTTATTGATTTCAATGAAGCGTAGTTAAAGTGTATAGTTGCTCATTTGTATAAATGAAAATGCTGATTGTGTCACGGGTGCTTGTGAGTGTGGAGGAATTTCTGAGTCAAAGAGAGTGAAGGAAAGAATGAAGGATGGCATTTCCTAAATTTTAATTGGCTGCAAAAAAGGCACATGCAGTAAGAGAGCACAACGACAAGAGCGAAACGAGCTCCTGGCTCTTTTTTATTTTGAGTACGAATGCGTGTCAACGGTTTGCTTTTTTTTTTTTTTTCTTTTTTTTTTTTTTTTTTTCGTTCATTCAGCTCGAAAAAAAAAATTCACAACTTTTTTTTACTTTCCTTTACACAATCGCACCCATGTCTAATCAAATCACCGTGTCCGAAATTAGCGCTAAAGGAATTGTTCTCGAAAAGAACATCGAGAATTTCACCACATCCACCACGTCTGTTTCAGTCGAGGAAACAGTTGCGACGTTAGAGTTTACAGAAGAATCTACAAAGTCTACTCCTGTCACTCCAACAGCATCCCCTAGAAAGGCCATTGCCAAAGCCAACGGCGCCACTTCTGATGGAGCCAATCAACATCGTACACTTCCCATTTTCAGCAATCCACTTTTGGCAAATGCTACACAGGCAAACTCAGTTCCTGTGAAGCCCAAGGCAGGCCGCGTGAAGTCTTCTGGAGGCAAAGCCATTTCTGTCCTCAGGATTAATGCGCCCAAGGTCGATGGTTATGTTGTGGTGATGCGTAGGCTGGACCAGGACCTGGTTAATGCTACATCAATGTTCAACGCCGCCTACCCTGCTATTTCTGAAAAGATGAATAGCAAGGAAAATCAATTTATTATGCGTAAATATCAAGGGCATATGGAGAAGTCAGGAGCTCTGAGTGGGGTCTGGTAAGTAGAGTCATTCAATATCTCCCTCCAGGTGGGATTTATCTTTCTCATGTATTCGAATATGAAGAGGGACAGAGAGAAGAGGGCGCAGAAAACAGATGGGTTATGACTTTCAATCGGGGAAAACCTTTTTTTTTCTTTATTTCTCGAGTAGTCATTTCTGGTTCCTGAACGAATAAAGAAAAATCTGTGGGGGAGTGTGCAACAGAAATTAGAGCGACTGTGTGACCTCGAGAAGTGAGAAAAAAAAAAAAAAAATTTCATGTGCCATGTGGCTAATTCATTGAGATACTATATTTTGTAATTCTGTAGGATTACCGTTGCGCAAGGTAAGGGTGCATTCCATTCATGTTTTTCGATATTGTAATTGCATGATTAAAACAGTTATGTTGTAAAGTTCATGAAAGTTGAACCTTTTTTTTTTGTTTTAACAGCCAAGGAACTTGCCAAGGAGTACGGAATTGATCAATTTATGCGTCCACTGTTGGAAGCACCTATCGCCAAGATTGCGTCTCTATCAGAGGGAGAGGAGGTTATTGAGAAAGTCGTTGTCACCGAGGTCACGACAGTGCAAACTACTACTACAGCGGATAGTGAGATTGAAGATTTAGAGGCTGTTGCTTTAGGAAAGAGGAAAATGACAGACGATTCGGAGGGTCTGACAGCCGAAGATGTCGCAGGGATGAAGCGTCGAATTGAGGAACTAGAGAACCAAGTTTCGAGAGACAAGAAGAAGTTGCGAGGCCTGGTCACTGTTGCAGTGGGTCTTGCAGCTGCCACGGTCATACCTCAGGTCCTCCCTTATTTTTCTTGAACAGGTTTCTTTTAAACTTGACAAGCCAATGAGATATGAATGGTATAAGCTGCACGACCAACTAGACGCCGTTCAATCATTCCATTCCTTTTATCCGTAATTTTATGATTCTTATTCCTTCACTTTTCCACTCTGTTGTAGTTGTTATCTATTTCTCAATGCCGTTTATTTTTTAAGTTTTAATTCTCAAGTCTATCCAAAGGACATGAAGCTATGACCATGTCCTTATTTGAATCTTTGTTTGATAATAATACAGATAGTAGTAATAAACACAGTTCTCCAAGACTTGCCTCTATACTTCCATGTCTTTTATTTAAGCTTGAGCTATACCAACGCCTAGTCTATTTCAAATATGTGCATGTATCTACTAAATGGTATGGTGTCCCCTGTGTCATTTTTTAATTTCCTACCACCAAAAATAGATGGCCTTGGCGAAGACAAAGCCAAGCTGTGTTGGACATGTTTCTCATCTCTCTTTATTTGTTCCACATTTCCTTTCAATTCCATTCAACCAATTCAATTCACTCTTAAAAAAAAAGTAACATAAAAAGACTCTGAAATGGACGTTCTTATTCATGACTCCAATTATAATCCTCAAACGTCGCTCATGACATATTCTCATCCTGGCACATTTATTGTGTGCTCTTATTTTGTGGCCTGGGCTATCTATGCCAGGAACCATAATGTCTTTGACCTGCCAGTCCAAAATTTGACCCATGTTCTGTACGCGTTTGCAAATCTCGATGCTGATGGTCGCGTATTCCTTGGTGACCCCTGGGCAGATACCGACAAGGTAAGAAAAAACTTTTTTTTTTTTTTTTTTTTTTTTTTACCTTCATGTTATTCCATTCTTGTCCTACAAATAAATCATTGACTTGTTATTCTTTTTCATAATTGCCCATCTTCAGCATTATGAAGACGACTCTTGGAATGATACTGGAAATAATTTGTACGGTAATTTCAAGCGACTCGGACTTTTGAAGAGGCGAAATCGTCATTTGAAAGTATCGCTTAGTATTGGTGGATGGACTTGGTCAACCAATTTTGCCGGCGTGGCTGCTTGTCCTCAAAAGCGTGCGGTAGTGTCCTTTATTATTATTATTATTATTATTATTATTATTAAGATAAAAATCACCCTCAAACTGATCAATGTTTATGTCATTCTCCCACTTTAGAACTTTGTCAAGACTTCGATTGAATTATTGAATAACTTGGGTCTGGATGGACTAGATATCGATTGGGTAAATGTTTTTTTTTTTTACTCGTCCATAATTAATAGTTATGCTTGAAGAAAATAAAACACAAATCACTGAAAGGAGATATTCATAATCTTCCCTTGGTTAGGAATACCCCAAGACATCTGAGGATGCTGTCAACTATGTGTCCTTGCTTCGCGAATTACGTCAGGGATTGGATCAGTATGCGGCTGCAAAAGGAGATCCCATCCCTTATCTTCTTACAGGTGCCATGCCTTGCGGCGAGACTCAGTACTCGCTGTTGCGTTTGAGTGAGATGAATCAATACATGGATGCATTCTACTTGATGGCCTACGACTTGGCTGGATCATGGTCAGATGTGGCAGGACATCAAAGTAATTTGCATGGAGGTCAGCTCAGTGTCAGTAAGGCTGTGAAGCACTATCTTTCACAGGGTATTCCCTCTCATAAGATTGTTGTGGGGATGCCCATCTATGGGCGAGCTTTCCAAAACACCAATGGTATTGGGCATCCATTCCAGGGAATTGGAGAGGGTACTTGGGAGCAAGGTGTTTATGACTTTAAGAAGTTGCCTTTGCAAGGAGCTGTGGAGTACTATGACTCTGAAGCAGTGTCAAGCTATTCATACGATCCTGTCAAGCGTGAGTTGATCACCTATGACTCGCCGTTGGTGATTGATCGTAAGGCTGAGTATATTGCGAAGCATCAACTGGGGGGAGCTATGTTTTGGGAGTCGAGTGGAGATCACCCACATGATCACGATCGATCATTGATTGGAGCTGTTAGCAAAGGACTCAGAAGACATGCTCCCTTGGACAGTAGTCCAAATCATCTGAACTACCCAACCAGCGTCTATGACAATGTGCGTGCTGGTTTCCAGTAAAAGGATGTAATTTTTTTTTTTTTTTTTTTTTTTTTTTTTTTTATTCTGATATCCGAGCAAAAGCGAAATAAAATGAAAAAGCTAGTTGATTAAAGAACGTTATGGACTGTTCCTGAAAGTTTAGGCTCGGAAAAATTCCGTTACAGCACATTCTGATTGGCGGAGAAAGCAAAGTGATATTGTATTATTTTTGGTGGCGTTTTTTACATTTTTTCTTTTTTTTTTTGTTTGAAATGTTTGCAGCAAACCCACACACATCTTGATTCTTTCCCTAGCATTCACAGCGCAAGCCAATTCAACATGTCACTCGATCCAACATTTCGTAAAGAGGCTGAGGAGCTCGTTAAGGAGCAAATGGCAGCCTACGATCCCTCTCATGATTGGTTGCATGTCGATCGTGTTCGTAGACAAGGTTTGGACATCTCGGACATTTAGGTTGTCTTATTCAGTTTTCATTATAGCGAGTCTGTTTATGTTGTGCTAAAACACATTTCTTCTTGTCATTTTTATTTTATCTCTTTATATGTCATGTTCAATGTTTTAATCAACAGCATTAAAGATTGCAAAAGAGGAAAGTAGTCAAGGCAAATCAATTGATGTGGAGCTTGTTGAGCTTGCTGCGCTGTTCCATGACATTGGTGATGCCAAGTTCCAGAAGGAGGGCCAACCTTCAGGACGCGAGATTGTAATGGGATTCTTGTCCAAGTACAAGTACGAGAAAGCTGATCTTGTTGCTAGGATCGTTGAGAATGTGTCCTTCAGAAAGGAGCTTGCAGGGAACAAGGACGAATGGACTCAATCTTGTATTGAATTACACATGTAATATTTTTGATTTATAACATGCAAAAAGGAATCAGAGACCATTTCTCGGTTTACATCCGTTTTTTTTTTTTTTTTTTTTTTTGTAAGATCTCCTCCTAAATGTAAATTATTCTCCTTAATGATCATAGTGTTCAAGATGCAGATAAGTTGGATGCCATTGGAGCATTTGGTAAAAGAAATAAGATTGAAAAAAGAAAAGGAAGCAAGAAAGGATGAATAAGCTTCATTTGACATTTGATTCAAATGAAGCATTAAGCTAAAAAAAAAAAAAAAAAAAAAAAAAAAAAAAGTAATCTTTTATTTATTGGACTTTAACCCTCATTTTTGATACAGGTATCATGCGCTGTGCAGCTTACAGCGGTTATAAGAACCGTCCGTTATATGATCCAGCGGAGAAGGCTCAATTGGACATGACGTATGAACAGTACCAAGCGCAGACAAAGGCCAACACTGGATGTGCTATTAGTCACTTTCATGAAAAGCTGTTTCGTCTCAAGGACATGATGAAGACACCTTCAGCTATCAAGATGGTTGAGAAGCGCCATGACCTCATGGTCGAATTTGTGAAGCGAATTGAAGAGGAATATTCGATGGACGAGTGAGTGAGTGGGTCTCATAATGCTTGCTCATAAGTTTGTAAACGTCTTTAGAACAATAAATATTAGATTATAATAATACATAGTACATTTTTTTATGCAAAATAATCCAGTCTATATGAGAATAAAGGAAGAAAAAAGCTTATTCCAACCACATAACGTATCCATGTACTGTAGCGCGCACTTCCTCACTACCCGGGTCTTCCAAGAACATGGGAGTCATCTTCTCTTCCAACACCTTCTCAACCTTGAAACCGAATCCACCAAGATCTTTTTCATCATCTGAAGACTCTGCTCCTTCTTTGGGGTCAATCACTGGTGCAGCTGCGATCTCAAAGAACTTGTTGTCTGCATGTGCAAGCCAAGGGCGATGATGCGTGAAGAACACAAAGACGCGTCCCGTGACTGGTTTGAGAGTTTCTTTACAGGTCTTGAGCATAGAGCGATGTTGTGAGTGGTTGAAGAGAAGATCGGACAAAATGATTGTGTCAAAGAGTTCTTTGGGTTCAGCTAATGGTGCCACTGGTGTTGATGATGATGTTGCTGGTTCTGTGGTCGCTGATGTAGAAGTAGAAGACGAGGACGGGTTAAGATGGGCGAGCAAGGGGCGAGTATTGGATCCCCATAGGTATCCTTGAACAATCACTTTGCCTTCCTGAATTTGCTTTGGTACATTTTGTTCAGCATTGTATTGGATGTTGGAAATGAGGTCGCTATCTGGATAGTCCGTAATGACCACCTAAAATAAAAAATCACATTTAATTATGAAACCTCGATTAAAAATGTATTGTGGATTTTGTTCGTTTTGATAATGATCGATACGCAATTTTTCTTTACAGGATAAAAGTGTAAAATAAAATAAAATAAAATAAAATAAAATAAAATAAAAAAAAAAAAGCCATCTTCTTCCTTTTGATATACCTTGGAAGCGCCATTGACAGCTGCGACAAAGCTTGGTAAGGCAGCTCCGGCACCCAATTCGAGCACATTCTTGCCAAGGCAGTGTTCTGGACGGTTATCTAACCAATTTGCAAACATTTTTGCAGCGTTCCACAGATGATGTCCCCAAAGTGGGTGAGAGCCAACTAGACGAAGTTTGATCGCTTGTGGTTCTTTATCATTGCAAGCACGGGTAAAGGTTTCAAAGGAGGGCTCTGGAGGAGGTGGACTGTAGTCTTTAGGCAAGTCAAACATTCCACCCATCTCTCCTTCTGATGAATCTGAATCAGACATGTTTAGAAAATGAGATCTTAGAAAAGGGTTGTGTTTATTGTTTGTGTTGTTTGTGTTGTTGTGTATATAAATTGTCGGGCCAGTCTGTGCAAAAAGGTCCAGAGTCAGAAAAAAAACTGCATCGACGCTCGGTCCACTTGTTCATGCATTGATCCAAAAAACAAAAAAAAAAAAAACATGATGAGTGACTGGCAAAAGTAATCAAATCTTTTGGTGCCATTTGAGCCTTTAACATGTGGGGACAAAAAAAAAGTATGCTTAATGGCTATGGGCACAATTGATGCGATGCACCCGTTGGAGCAGTGATGATCAAGAATACTATGAAATGCAATTGATCAAGAGACAAAGACTCCTACTGATAGCCTATATCGACAACGACCAAGTATCTTATAGTCGTAGTGATCAAAAGAGATGCCCCTTGGTTATTGATCTTTCTTTTGAGGACCATGTCTGAAATTGGAACTCATCTTTTTTGGGCATTATCATCCATTCCGCACAATGCTGTTGGGTGTAAATTAGTGGGATGGTCCCGAGCTGATCTCATTCGCACCTGCAAAAAAAAAAAAAAAAAAGATTATCCAAAAAATGTCTGCATGCCACAAAAAAGAGTTTAGACAATATTTTTTTAAATGAACCTCAATCATTCTCATTCACCTTCTCCTTCACCTTCTTCATTCACCCTTTTCCCCTTACTCGGCCTACCATGTGGTCAGAAAGTTGACAGTCCTTCCCCCCTTTTCTCGTTCTATCGTTTCTCAACCTCTGCGTCTTTTTTTTTTTTTTTTTTTTTTTTTATTTTTTTTTTTAAATTGCCTCACTGTGGCGTACTCTGTTGAAAACATATTTTTTTTATCAAAATAAAATTATTCTTGCCGTTTATCTTTGAAAGCTCTTTCTACCACCACTCCCCACTCTCCATTCCCCACTCTTCCCTTATTCCATACTTGTAAAACATATATCGTAATGGCTCATTCTTACAGCCCTTTCTCAGAAGGAAAGCTTTCTGATCTGGCAGCAACCGCCCAAGAGACCAAAGTGGTTATCTCGGAGAAGAACGAACAATCCCTTAAAGACCTTGCCTTTGGCTCTGTAGGTGTCTTGTCCCTTTCACCTTTCTTACTTGACTCACCCTGTTTTCTTCAACATTGGAGGTTCCTCTTTGGACTATGTTGTATATTCACTACCAGCTCACACGTTCCTTTTTTTTTATTTTTATTTTTTTCCCTATTTAAGCTTGCTGGAGTAGCAGGCAAGTTTGTGGAATTTCCCTTTGACACTGTCAAGGTTCGCCTACAAACTCAGCCCTTAGATCATCCAATTTTCAAGGGTCCATTCGATTGCTTCAGGCAAACAGTCAGGAACGAAGGTTTCCTCGGTCTTTATAATGTAAGTAAAGCAACCTATGGCGTGCACTTACCCTCCATTCAGTCCCTTCTTTACCAAACAAAAAATTTTGATTTGTTTATACATCATGAGTCGATGTGAATGGTCGGAAATTAATTCTCTCGATCATTCCCAAATTTGTAATAGGGCCTTTCGTCTCCACTCGTTGGTGCCATGCTTGAGAACGCTGTACTCTTTGTTGGTTACAGGCGTGCACAGGACATGCTGCGAGATTTGGTCGCTGTTCCTGATACTCATGGCTCTACCCCAGCTCCCCTCAGTATCCCAATGCTGTGTCTCTCAGGAGGTATCTCTGGTGTGTTTGCCTCGATGGTGTTAACTCCCGTCGAGCTTGTCAAGTGTAAATTGCAGGTGCAACAGATTGGTCACCTCTACACTAAGGACTCCAAGACTGGTCCCGTCCCCAAAGCCCTTCACAGTGGACCTCTCAGTGTCATCAAACAAATCTATACCCAGCACGGCCTTCGTGGATTTTATTTGGGCCATTTCCCAACATTTTTGCGTGAGACGGGTGGTGGTGCCGCTTGGTTCGGATCATATGAAGCAGTCTGTCGCTTCCTTATCACGCGTGAACAATTGGCTGCACCCGAGGGCAAGATCATAACCCAGGCAGATCTGCAGGCGCCCCATTTGATGTTCGCTGGCGCGCTAGCAGGCATGGCATACAACTTTATTCTATTCCCAGCAGACTGTATCAAGAGTCATATGCAGACCCAGGATGTTCTTCGGAGTCATCAACGATCCGGTTCGGGAGTTGGTGGTAGTGGCGGTAGTACAGCAGCTAATAAGGGTTTCATCGCCACTGGCAAAGAGATTTTCCGCTCAGAAGGAATTCGGGGGTTGTACCGTGGCTGCGGTATCACTGTGGCTCGATCGGCGCCTTCTAGTGCCATCATTTTCATGACCTATGTAAGCTTTTTAATGGCAGTTATCTTTTTATGTTCAATCGGAGGTTGTCATGCTATTCTGGATCCTAACAACCGATTTATTTTATTTTTTATTTTCATAGGAACTGCTTTCACGTCGTTTTGCATAAGATCATCATATAGATTTCATATCCAGCATTTTTTCAACATGTAATATAAAATTCAAACTTTCATTGCCGTGGAGGCAAAAAAAAAAAAAAAAAAAAAAAAAAACGTGACGGATAGCACGTCCTTAAAGCGCGCTTTGCCGAAAAAAAAGTGATGTTAATTGTAAACTCATTTCCTTAAATTGATCCAATCATGTCTCGAAGTGTGCCTATTGAAGATCCATTACTACATCCACCAACACCGCCCATCCAAGCGGAACAGACAGAACAAAAACAGGATAGGACTGAACAACCAAGGTCATCGCTTCAATTTGATGATGGCCCCATCCCTTTTCAAACCACTTCTTCAACAGAGGCGACCGCAAAGAACACATCCATCTTTGCGCCTATACAAGCACAACCATTAAGCAAGCCCAATACTGTTCCTGTAAAGGCAAGCGCTGTTGGCAACGCATCCGAAACCGAAGCTGCCTCGCTACCTAAATTTGTTGATCCTTTAACAGCAGCAGCTCTTGAACAGAACATTGAAGGTACTGGCAGCATTGAGAGTACTGTGAATAAGGCCGCTACGACCGAGACTACGACTATGAACACGAGCATAGCTTCAGTTCCCTCATCTCCATCTACACAGGGATCAGCACCGCTGCCCAATATCAGTATCCCGACTGGTCATAACAACATCCCAACAGAATATCCTACACATTTAGCATCTCCGCCATTACCTCAACGACCATCTTCGAGAGGAGGAACACCATTTGCAGCCTTCCAGAGTTTTTCATCAGCTCTACAGCCTCCTTCAGCGTCAGAGGCTCCAGTTTCAACTGATCTGAGTTCAGGATTAGGCTCAATAGTTGGCGGAAGTATTGGACTCAGTTTTAAGGAAAGTCAACAAGGAGATGAAGCAAAGGACAAGGCCAGGAATGATACTTCTACAACTACTGCAGCACAGCAGCAGCAACGGGCGAAGCAGAACCCCATCGGGATATCCACCGCCAACATTGCAGGGACTGGAATAGGTAGTATTCAGGATCAGTCGGATATGGTGCACCAAGAATTAAGGAGTCCTGAACAGCAGCATCATGCATTAGAGCAGCAGCAGGAACAACAGCAGCAACAGCACCAACAACAACAACCACAGCATCGCACTGAACGTAACAGCCAAATGACTATTAAGTTGGTTGAGCAAGGCCGGGAGCAATATGTTGGGTAAGGAAAAGATAGGAAGGCAGAGAAACAGGAAGACAGGGAGATAGAGTGGCAGAAGGACAGCAAAAAAAGGAAAACAAGGGAAAGAGGCAGAGACAGAGGATAAGTCATGGAAGGATCTGGAGACTGACATAATCATATTATTATTATTGTTATTTTAACTACTAAACTTATCTAATAGCATCCGATCTCCAGTTTTTGCAGTACCTCAGAGACCTATGCGACAGGAAGGGTTCCCCGTATTGAATACCCCAAGCATGTTTCATGAGATTACGATGGTATGCTCACGCCTGTTATGGCCCAGAGTCATTTCGCTTCAAGTTTGTATTTAACCTTTTATTTCTCTTTTTCTTTTTTTTCTTTTCATTCCAAAAGTAACCAATTGACTGTTATTATTATTATTATTATTATTATTATTATTATTATTATTGTTATTATTGTTATTATTTTTACAATATTGGATCATGATAAGAAAAGTCGGATGCGTTGAATGACTTGATGATCAGACATATTCCTGCGGAACAGCGTGTGCTGAGAGATTGGAATGCATTGACCAAGGCGGAACAACAACAGGCGTCGAGGCCAGAAATTTTGCATGAGCTTACCGTCAATAATTCTTGGAGGGCAATGGCGAGATATACCCGATCACAGATCCTCAATAGCCCACCGGAACGTATCCCAGAGTTGATCAATGTAACCATTAGAGACTGCGAAATTAAAAAAAAAAAAAAAAAAAAAAAAGTTGAAAAGCTGTGAGAATGAAGATGGTACTAAATCTCAATTTTTTTTTTTTTTTTTTTTTTTTTTTTTTCTAGTTGTGGTATGCACGATTGCTAGCATTGACCAAGTTGGGACAATATGAAATGGCACAGGCAGAACTAGATCAATTGGGTGATTTGCGAGGAGCACAGTATCGTTATGAAAGTTATCCTGCAGATATGTTCGTGGATAATGAGTTTCAAACGCAAGAGCAGCTACGGAATGGCGCATCCAGGACAGGTAGCATGGTACCATTTGAATTGTTTGTCCTAAAGGCGCGATTGCAGGGATATCTTGGAGATGTGTATGAGGCAATCGATCAGCTCTATGATCTGATCATGAACTGTAAAAAGGTAAAAACGAACAAAAAGATACATTTGTCATTTCTGAGAGATGAAAATGGCAAAATAGGATGGCCTGATGTCTAAATGGTTTTTATTGGTTTCATAGTTCGAGGCAATCTGCCATGTGGGGAAAGATACTGTTGGCGCAAGGCAATGGCATAGTTTGACAGGCCAGTTACATCTTATTGTGTTAAATTACTTGATTGAGCTCAAGGATTATTCCGCAGCAACACGGTATGGGCGTGACTTGGCCAGGGCGTATCCGCAAGACATTAATTTCCACTCTGGGTTGGGCCGACTGTACTTGCAACTCGGGGATCTCGAGAGAGCAGAGAAAGTGTTTAAGGAAGTAGAGGAAATGGTTGCAAAGAAGACGAATTGCCATTCGAGTCAATCATCAGAAGAAACAGAGACGCCAAAGGAGCAGATCCCAGCATTGACCCACTTGAAACTTCAAGTGACGACAAATAGAGCGTTGCTTGCTGTAGCTCAAGGACAATGGGCTGTAGCAAAGGCTGCTTTCGAAGAAGTACTTACTCAAGAGCCTGAAAATCTTGTGGTTAGTTGTTTTTTTTTTTTTTTTTTTTTTTTTTTTCTTTTTTTCTCGTCTTTATTATTGTCGTTAATTTCCTAATTTCCTTCTCTTTCTTTTCGTTTTAGGCTGCCAACAACTTGGCTGTCTGTGAGTTGTATGCTGGCCAACTAAATGAGGCTATTCCAAGGCTTGAGAGACTCATGTTTGCATACCCCACATCTGCAGGCACAAGTGAGCCATTGGTGTTTAATATGGCTACACTTTATGAACTCCGGACAGAGGGTTCACTCCGGAGGAAACAGCAGATGATGATAGAGGTTTCCAAGTGGGCCGGCGACCAATTTAACGTGAGCATGTTCAAGATCTAGAGCCCTTTTTTTCCTTCTTATATAGCTATTTCTAGGTCTCAGATAGAATTAGTTATAGGAAATGCCTTCTTTGATAACTGTAATGTTTAGTATTAAAGAGATTTATCAGCATTGTTTTTTATGCTTCGTTTGGTTTTAGCGTGTGAAGATCGACAGTACGATTAAAATATGAAAAAAAAAAAAAAAAAAAAAAAAAAAAAATAAGGAGATTTCGGAAAATAAGGAAGGTATGAGCGTGGAAATATAAAAAGCTGACTGATTGGAGTACAAGAAAATAGGAGGATGGAGAGCTCCGAGAGAAAAAGCCGGAAAAGACGCAGGCAGACTGGACTGCAGATCGGATGGCGCGATCTGACGATGGTTGACGGGTGAGGATCTTTTTTCCTCTCAAACTCTCTTAAGCGGCAAACTGACTGAAAAAAACATTCCAAGATCACTATCATCTTTGTAACTCTACAGTTATCTCTAAAGGATGGTGAAGCCAGAATTAGCAAGGGAAGGATGATATTCTTCATCATCCAAGACCCTTACTTTCATTCAACTGTTGTCATTAACAACAACATTTGAGTATCTATGAGATTAAGAACATTGATTTTTTTTTTTTTTTTTTTTTTTATTGATGGATATTGAGATAACATGTCCAATCAAGGCGCGTGGATCGGTGCTGATGCGATCGATGGTGCAATTTGTGTGCTTTTGTGTGACTGTTTCAGTGTTAAATGCATGGAAACATATTTTTGAGACTCTATCTATCCTACACAAATCGAATGCATTTCGCCATTGCGGAGCACACTGGGTGGAGCAGACGCGCACTGGGTGAATTGGGCAGATAGTGCATGCAATTAAAAAATAAAGAGTGTGCACTGTGCCTGGTTGACTCTTTTTGATCTCGGAGAAACAACATTTAAACGCGGACCCTTCATCCATTTTTTTTTTTTCTCTTTCTATCTTTTCTCCCTTTCTTTTCTCTTTCTCTTTTCAGTAGACATTGGTTCTTTACTTCCTCTCTTCCTCTTCCTTTTACCCGCAATCCTTTTTCTTTCTTTCTTTTTCTCCCCTTTCGTCTACTCTCTTTTTAATATATATCCTGTATCATAATTTTATTGTTCATTCTCATTTTCATTTCTTTGCTGTTTTTTGTTGCCTTTGTAATCTTTGTCATTCCATTTTGTTGTATATCAAAGAAAGAGAAAGAAAGAAAGTAGAAAAATGGTTTCGTCTACCTTTGATTTCTTAGCACAGGCTGCCTTTGCTTCCGCAGAGTCCATCTTTGCTGTCAACTCACCTTCGTCACAGCCCGCTCACGCCTTGGATCGCCTCTCGGACAGGTACAACATTAACAACACATCGCCTGAAATCACAACTCTCCAGGCCAATGCTGATCCATTTCAAAAGGTCCAAGAGTCGGCTGCTGCCAACAAGGACCTGACATCGGTCCTCACTACCTCGGACGCACTCTTGCCTGCAATTCCTCATCTCTTCAAGGTGGCTGCTCAGCGATCCGCAGTTGTTGTTCATGTGGAGACTAAGGAACGGGATTCCAACAATCATAACCATGCTAATGGTCATGCCAATGGCAAAGAGCATAAGGGAAGCAATGGTGGCGTTGTCCCCTCATATTCTGATTTGATGGCTGTCCGTCAAACAGGATTCGCAGTCTTGACCTCGGACAATGCTCAAACGGCCTTTGATCTGGCTTTGGTGGCACAGGCAGCTGCAGTCCAGACAAGCACCCCCTTCTTGAATGCCGTGAACAATGCTAATATTTCAGAGCAGCAGAAGCAACAGATTGTATTGGATCATCAGAAGGTTGCCCCTACATTGTTGTCTGAGAAAGATCTGACAGCACACAAGGAGCGTCAGCAGGCCGTAAGCGAGATCTCGCTCTCCTCGCTCTACTTGAATCCTAAAGACTCTGCCAACAGTAATGTACAGACTTCGGCATCACCTGAGGAAGTCTACACCAAGGTCGAGGAGCTCTTGTCTGTGTTCCAGAAGCAAACTGGCCGCTCGTATCGCCCTATTGAGTATCATGGTAAGTAAATTCGAGAGGGGAACTTTAACAGATTTCAAAATAAGATTTTGATGGCGAGCGATTCGTCATTTGCACTGAGGATTTCGCTTTTTCTTTTTCCTCTCGGTCCGCTGTTTCCAAAAAAAAAAAAAAAAAAAAAAAAAAAAAGTCACCTTTAAATTGCTTACTAACGTTGTGCAAAAATTGTGTGATCTGATCTTGATAGGCTCTGCCAATCCAAAGACTGTCTTTGTCACCCTAGCTATTGGTGCTTCAACTCTTGAGCAAATTCTCGAGAAGCATCACAGCAAGGATGTCGGCATCATCAAGGTCTATCTTTACCGCCCCTGGTCTGAACGTCACTTCATTCAGGCTTTGCCAAAGTCTGTCGAGCGTGTCATTGTCTTTGAGCAGGCCCCTGCTGCCCACACTGCCTGGACTCCTCTCTTCCTCGATGTTTCTGCTTCCTTCCACAGCACTGAGGCTGCTTGGGAAGGTCAGGTCCCCAAGATTATCAGCGCCCGTTACCGTGGATCTGGAGCTGACCTCTCAGAGGGCGATATCAAGGGTGCCCTGGCCTCCGAGCAACCTTCGTTTGTCATCAACCCCAATTATGTCGCTCATGCTACCTCTCATGCTACTCCTCTTCAAGACTCGGACATTGATACGCCCTACATTCAGATGTTGAACCAAGTCTTCCAGGATCGATTGAATATTGAGAACGGCGTCAAGTCGAACTCTGTCTGGGGATCTTCGCAACAATTGCCCGAGTTTGGTTACGGTTCATTGATCACCAAGGTAAATGCTCGTGCTCGTTTTGCTGAGCTTGTCTCCAAGACTGTTCAGGACTCTTCCCTCAAGATCTCTGAGCCTCTCCGCAAGGCTCTGACTCAGTGGCATTTGAACCGTGCAGATAGCAAATCAGCCAAGCGATATGGTGATGAGGCCATTGCATTGCTCCAAGAGGTCAAAGATGGTCTTGTCGGATCCCTTGCTGAGATTGCGTCTCAATCTGCTCACTTTGCCAAGCCTTCGCACTGGTTAGTGGGTGCTGATTCTTGGGCCTTTGATATTGCCGACTCTGGTGTCCATCATGTCATCTCTTCTGATGCTGACATCAACCTCTTGATCCTTGATACTGAGCCCTACACTGCCCGTACTAAGAACCCTGAGAACCGCAAGAAGGACATTGGTCTCTATGCCATGAATTACGGCTCTGTTTTCGTTGCCTCAGTCGCTGTCTACTCTAGCTATTCTCATGTCCTCCACGCTTTGATTGAGGCTGACCAGTTCCAGGGGCCTTCGATCGTTCTTGCATACTTGCCTCATCCTGACGAGGAGAAGGTTTCACCCATTACAGTTTTAAAAGAAACCAAGCTTGCAGTCGACTCTGGTTACTGGCCCTTGTACCGCTGGAACCCTTCGCTCGAAGAGAAGGGCGAGGAGCCTTTCCGCCTGGATTCCGAGCGCATCAAGTTGGATCTTCAGCAGTTCCTCGAGCGTGAGAATCACTTGTCCTTGATCATCAAGCAGAACCCTGACATTGCTCGTACCTTGACTCACTCCGTCGAATCTGAGGCCAAAGCCCGTGATTCCGCTCTCAAGAGAAAGGCCAAGGATGACTTTGCAAAGCTGATGGGTGGCCTTGGAGGCCCACCACTGTTGATCCTCTTTGGTTCCGATGGAAGCAATGCCGAAGGTCTCTGCAAGCGCTTAATCAAGGGCGCAAAGCTGCGCAATCTCTCTGCCCGTTACTGCGCCATGGATGATGTTTCGATCGAGGATTTGACACTGGAGAAGCATGTCATCTTTATTGTCAGTACTGCCGGTCAAGGAGAATTCCCTGTCAATGCTCGTGAGTTCTGGAAATCTTTGGATGCAGCTACAGAGCTGGCTGTGTCGGAGACCAAGTTTGGTATCTTTGGTCTTGGTGATTCACACTACTGGCCGCGCGAGGAGGATGCTATCTTTTACAATCGTCCTTCGAGAGATCTTCATGCCAAGCTGGTCGATCTTGGTGCTCAACCCTTACTCGAACTCGGTCAAGGCAACGATCAAGATGCCGATTCGTTCGAGACCGCTTGGGCTGTGTGGGAGCCTCTTCTCTGGGAGTCTCTCGGATGCAAGCCTTTAGAGGGCGTTGTTGAGGAGCCTAAGCAATCTGCTGATGATGCTATGAAGATTGCCTCCAACTACCTTCGTGGTACCATTGCCGAGGGTCTCTTGGACACCACCACTGGCCAACTTCGTGCGGAGGCTGACACAAAGTTGACAAAGTTCCACGGTATCTACCAGCAAGACGATCGTGACCTCCGTGAAGAGCGCAAGGCACAGGGGTTGGAGAAGGCCTTCTCGTTCATGGTTCGTGTCCGTGTTCCAGGAGGTGTGGCCACACCTGCTCAATGGTTGGCAATGGACAGTATTTCGGATGTCACTGCCAACGGTACCTTGAAGTTGACTACCCGTCAGGCCTTCCAGTTCCATGGAGTTTTGAAGCGCAACCTCAAGAAGAACATTCAACTTATTAACAAGTCACTCTTAGACACTATTGCAGCTTGCGGTGATGTCAACCGTAACATCATGTGCAACCCCAATCCTCATCAGTCGGATCTTCATAAGCAGGTCAATGACTTTGCAACCAATCTTTCGGCTCATTTGCTGCCCAAGACCTCCGCTTATCGTGAGATTTGGCTTGATCAGAAGCTTGTCAAGGGAGAAGCTGTAGTTGATCACGAGCCCCTTTATGGACCTACTTACTTGCCACGCAAGTTCAAGATTGGTATGTCTTTTCTTTTTCTTTCATTCTTTTTTTTTTTTTTTCTACTAGTCTTTTAACATCAACCAACCCTAACTTTTTTTTTTTCTCTTTATTCTCTTAAATAGTTGTTGCTGTTCCTCCTAACAACGATGTTGATGTATTTGCTCACGATCTCGGCTTCATTGCCATCACCAACAAGGATGGTTCCCTCGCTGGATTCAACGTCACTGTTGGGGGTGGTATGGGTATGACTCACGGTAACAAGAAGACCTATCCTCGTCTTGCAGATATCATTGGTTTCTGTACTCCCGAGCAGGCCATTGAGACTGGTGAGAAGGTCATGTTGGTGCAACGTGACTTTGGTGACCGTATGAACCGTAAGCACGCCCGTCTGAAGTACACCATCGATGACCGTGGTATTGAGTGGTTCAAGACTGAAGTTCAATCCCGCTTGCCCTTCCAGCTTCAAGAGCCCCGTCCCTTCAAGTTCCTGGATAATGCAGACCGTTATGGATGGACCCAGGGTCAGGACAAGTTGTGGCACTACTGCTGCTACATTGAGAACGGTCGTGTGAAGGACACTCCAGCTGAGCCTCACAAGACTGGACTGCGCGAGATTGCGAAGGTCCATAATGGAGAGTTCAGATTGACACCTAACCAGCATTTGATTATTGCTAACGTCAAGGAGTCTGAGAAGGCACGTATCCAGGAGTTGTTGGAGAAGTATAAGTTGGACAAGCTCAACTACACTGGTGCTATGCTCAATTCGATGGCCTGTGTAGCCTTCCCAACTTGCTCATTGGCTATGGCAGAGTCTGAGCGATACTTGCCTTCGTTGGTCGAGAAGTTTGAGTCAACGTTGGAGGAGGTCGGATTGAGGGATGATGCGGTGACGATTCGTATGACAGGATGTCCTAACGGATGTGCTCGTCCATATGTGGCTGAGATTGCATTTGTGGGTAAGGCCTATGGAGCTTACAATGTCTACCTGGGAGGAGGACATCACGGAGAGCGTTTGAACAAGTTGTACAAGGAGTCGTTGACAGAACCAGAAATTGTTGCAGAAATCACGCCAATGTTGCGTAGGTGGGCAGCAGAGCGTCTTGAGGGTGAACACTTTGGTGACTTTGTGATTCGTGTTGGCATTATCAAAGCAACTTTGAGCGGCAAGACCTTCCACGATCTCTCATAAGTTTCACATATTTATTATATTATCTATCTATCTTTCCATTAGTTTTTGTTTAATTTTATTTTTTTTATTTTTTTTTTGCATTCATACATATTTCTTGCATTTTGCCTTTTGCGCAATAAAAAAAAATATACAAAAAAAAAAAAAAAAAAAACCTCTCTCTCACTTTTACAATAGTAGAGATGTGCGGTTGTTGATGATTGTTGCATGCAATGCTACGCTTTTTTTTTTTAATTTGATTTGATTTGTGAAGTAGAGAAGATGTTGCCCCCATATAGTACCTCGCTCGCATCAGAATCTACGAACTTGGTGTGGAAGAGGGATTGTTTTCAAGAAAAGCTTCTTTCTTCCGAATGGAAGTAGACGAACACACCCATGGATTAAACGGGAGGAACTCAGACATATATACTCGGGTCTCTTTTGATTCTGAAGAAGCCAACAAGGCTCTCGGACTGCCATTCCTTTTAAGCAACTTCAAGGGTACGAGAGACAAAATGGGACTGGCTATGTCGACAGAGAGTTGCCTATGGGGACTAATTTGATTTCTGCTCGAATTTGATTTTGAATTTGGATTTGGATGCCTCCAGAAGTGGACTGTGTTTTTTTTTTTTTTTTTTTTTTTTTTTTGGGGTGAGGAAAACCAAGGAGATCTTGTGGGAGGGTGCAGAAAATTCCGATGGATCAACAAAGCACAAACACAGCATCCCTATCCCAGTCAATATTTAGTACGAGTCTGTAGGTTCAAAAGGCAACACTCGATTGATTGCATTAAACAAATAAGGACTTTTTTTTTTTTTTTTTTTTTTTTTATGAAGATAAATTATGTTTAATTCAATAATACCTCTTCTATCAATTATCTCTCTCTCCCCAGTCTTTATTTTATTTTTTTTTATTTTTTTTTCTTTTCCGTTTTGATCGATTCCTCAAACTTCGTTTTAATTTATGAACAAACATGAATGATCTATATCTTTGCATCTTGCCCATGTTTTCTAAAATGTTTTAATGATCAAGAGGTTTAAAGTCCCAATTCCTCCTTGGTCTGGACACCCAGCTCGGCCTTGAGAGGGGCAAGCTCATCCAAGTACTGCTTGTAAAGGGCATCAGATCCAGTCTTGACCTTCAAGCCTTCAAAGACACGGACAGCAGTGGCATAGTCATCGACACGTCTAGAAGCCTTGAGGGCTGCGGCAATGACGGAGGGCGAAGGGACCAAATCGTAACCAAAGGCGTTGTTCAATCCACGTTGAAGCTCAAAGACATCATCCACATTGTCAAAGAACTTGACAAAACGTTCCGTGAAGTGCTCAAAGGATTCCTCGCCGTGCTCTGAGGAGTAGTTGCGAACTAGATATGAAAGGAGAAAAATTAGTTAGCCATAGAAAATAATAACGTATTGTTAAGATTAGTCGAGATAAGTGAGGGAGGAGGAATCTGCTGAAAGTGTCTGATGATTCCTTTCCCAATTGTTCGCCTCTCTCTTTACTCAACTGTTCGTCTCTTAACCATTGTTACTATCCCTGCAAATTTATCCTCTGCATGCTGAGAAAAACTCCAAGCAAAAAAAAAAAAAAAAAAAAAAAAAAAAACAAGTTCATTAAAAACTTGGTCCATCGATAATTAAAAATAAACGAGCGTATGGTATTTTAGCTCCTTTGGTTCCTTCATCTGAATCAACTTTTTTTTTTTTTTTTTTTTTTTTTTTTTTTGTTGCTGTTGTTGTTTATCGTAATATTCTCTAGTCTTCCTTGTTGACCTGTTTTTCGATCTGCACTCGTGTTGTCCTGGTTGTTTGCCCACTTTCCAATGTACTGGATCAGATTTGTGACGTATTTCTCGGATCCATAGGATGATCATCTTTAAATTTCCTTCAAGAGCAATAATGCCAGACTTTTTCCCGTAAAGAGATGAGCGTGTTGTAAAATGCAAAGACATAAAAATGCTTTTTTTTTTTTTTTTTTTTTTTTTTTTTTTTTTTATTTTACAGGTGTATGTTCATGTTTTTTCTTTCTTTTTTTTTTTTTTTTTTTTGCTTCAATGGATGGATGAATGAATATTTCTTTTTTCCTTTTCTTTCCGAGTGAATCGATCCGAGATCGCGGAAAAAATTTAAAATAGATAAATAAAAGAATAAACATACTCTGGATAGCAGAGCGGGTGGCAACAGCAGAGCGAGCAACCTGAATGCGAGCAGCAGCAGCAAGAGGACGAGAAATGGCAGTAATGCGGTTCATGGTAATTATGATGTCAGTTGAAGTTAATGTATGTTGGAAGAGGAAATGTAAAAAGTTTTCTCTTTTCGGAGGGAGTGTCGCGCCCAAAAGGATTACTTGGTTGACATAAAGGTTGAGCAGTTTGGAATCACGTGCAAGTTGCGAATTTGATTTTCGTCTTCTGAGTCCAAAGCCACATGTGTATTCATCAATTGTTCAGTCTAAGTGAACTAAAAGTTTTATGTGTATTTATTTATTCATACAGACTAAAAGATTAATGCCCAAAAGACTCATTTGGTTGGCCAAGTGTCTTGGTCAAAAGGAAAAAGGAGAAAGATAAATAAATAAATGAAGAGAGAGGAGAGTAAGGGGAGAAGACGGCTTTTTTTATATTTGGTTATTTTGTGCCTGATTAGAGTGGGTGTAAAGTTCAAGGAACAAGCTTGAAGTGCATACAGGTGCTTTGGCTATTTGATCGGTCATATTTCTTTCATGTGCAAGTGCGTACATGTAATGAGTATAATGATACAAGTCTGAATCACAGAACTCTAGAGCAAACGAATTGCGAAGGTGGAAAAGAAAAGCAGGCAATTGTGCGAGTGCCTGGGCAAAAAAAAGTATATCTCCAACACAAATCAGCGACAAACAAGATGCGGCTGCGGGATGTATACACTGTATCTCGAGTTCAATTGCAAGACAACATGGACAACATGGCGAAATCTCGCTTTCTCTCAAAGGCAGTTTTATTTTATTTTATTTTATTTTTATTTTTTTTGGTGGTTGGTAGTGAATCGGCTTTGACATGTAATGAGAATGCATAAATATGAACATGTAACTGTATTGTGTAAAAGTAAAGAAGTTAGAAATTAACGATGACTAAAACTCCATTTTGAGCCACAGTCTGACAAATGTTTGTCCTGATTGATTTGTCTACTTTGCATAGCGTTGTACATTCCTTATCGCACTTTTCTTTTTTCTTTTTTCTTTTTTTTTCTTTTCCTTTCCCTTCTTTTCTCTTTCTCTTTCTCTTTCTCCCTCTTCTTCAATCGTTCTCTCTTGTCCTTCCAACCTTTCCTTCCCCTCCTAGACTTTCTTGTCTTTCTTCCTCATTCTGGTTCAACCACATTCCTCTCCACTCACCCTTCTCTCTCTTTCTCTTTTTCTCTTACTATTTCTCTCACAGTCTCTCTCTCTTTCTTTCTTTTTCTCCCTCTTTTGTATAACAAATGGCTTGTGATATCTCCATGACTGAAGCCCTTCCTGCCGCTGCACAGAGTCGCTATGTTCCTAGAAATGCTATCGACCATATGAACCCATTCTTCTTTAGAAGCCATGCCCATGCTCACTCTCACTCTCACTCTCGCCATCATGGAAGCAAACATGCTCACCATGCTTACCCTGATACTTCTGACAGCCTACAGACTCCTGTTCCTCGTCGACCATCAATCCAGATCGACAATCCTTCTCCTTCAAAGCCAGTACCAATGGCTTCGTCCCTTTCAACATCCGCCGTTCCAACAATCGTTTCATACAACACTCCTCCTGCCACTCCGCCATTGGCAAAAGACGAAGAACCTACTGGCATTGCTTGGTGCACCGCTAGGGCTAGAATCCCTACACCCGATGGATCTGAATATTTCTTGCATATCTATGAAAACTCCAAGGACAAGAAAGAGCATCTGGCCTTTGTCTTTGGGGATGCGATCCGAAGCAAGAGTTTAGACAAGGTTCGCTGGAACGAGACAGAGATGGATAGGATCAAGCGTGGGGCATATACCGGGCGTTTGCGCAACACAGTGGCAGAAGAAGAACAGCAACAGCAACAGCAACAACAAAAGGACTCTTCTTCATTGGGCACTGAGTTCACCACAGCCTCAACTGAGACAACAGGATCAACAGCATCTTTGATTCCCTTAGTACGTATTCATTCTGAATGCTTCACAGGTGAGATCGGGCACTCGGCCCGTTGCGACTGTGGAGAGCAATTGGACGAGGCCATCCGATTGATGAAGGCCGAAGGATCCGGTGTTGTGGTCTATCTTCGTCAGGAAGGTCGCGGCATTGGTCTTGCGGAAAAATTAAGGTAAAAAAAAAAAATAAAAAAAAAAAAAAAACATTTGCGAAAGCCAATATCTCTCTTTCCACCTTCCCCACCTTTACTCCACATGTGATATTTCTGAGCTTTGAGAGTTTTTTTTTTTTTTTTTCTTTCTGGGAAATTTTCCCTTAACCGATCAACCGACAAATGCCGATATCTTTAAAAAAAAATTCGATTAGTCACTTTGTGTGCATTTGCCCATGTGCTGTGCTCTGACCTCCTTTTTCTTTCTTGAAAACTAATCAATATCAATCTAGGGCATACAATCTTCAAGATCTAGGATATGATACAGTAATGGCAAACTTGATGTTGGACCGTGGAGCAGATGAACGTACCTATGATGTTGCTCAGGCGATTCTTGAGGATTTGGGACTAAACCAGATCCGGCTATTGACAAATAACCCTGATAAGATTGAGCAGATTGAGAAAGACAGCCAGATCAGAGTGGTTGAGCGTGTGCCAATGATGCCCAAGTCCTGGGAGGCGATTGAGCTAGGCAGAGAAATGGAATTTGAGGTCAAAGAAGGTGCAGTAGAGAACAAGGTAGTGAAGGGCAAAGAGCTGGATAGATACTTGAAGGTCAAGGTCGAAAGGATGAGACACATGATATCTATCCCTTCCAACATGAGCATTTAAGCAGTAGCAACGAAAAAGAAGAGCTAGACTAGATTATCCACATCTCTTTTTCATTTGATTCCTTTATACTCCTTTTTCTTTATACCTTTTTGTTCATAAAACTTGTATTTTTATTCTAAAAAAGAAAAAGACCGATTTAAAAAAATCTTATTTTTGTTATGCTACTACCATTAGAAAAAGCAGCCAAGGGAGAAGGTGTGGATGAGTTGATTCAATGTGGTGCCCGAGAATTGCCCTACCACACAGATAACTTGTTTTTTTGCAAGCAATCCTAGGAAGTTTTATTATCCTTTTTTTATAACCTTTCGGAACTAAAAGTAGCCGCAAGAAAAACATGCACCCACAAAATGAAATAAAGTGTTGCGCCCATGAGCACTTTTTGATCCAAAAGTGCGGTCCTACAAACCTCATTTCATCTTTTTCTCCATTCATTCTCTTTTTGTCTTTCTTCATTGATCTTTCCTAAGCACACAAGCAACAGTGTACATTCACCACTGTACCAGTTGTAAAGAGTTACAGTAAACAAATTGAAAAAAAAAAAAAAAAAAAAAAAAAAAATACTTGGACAACGTCATGACAGAGCCTGATACAAATAAACCAAAGGTACTTATTGTGGGCGCAGGCTTGGGTGGACTCTTACTTGCGATTCTGCTCGAGCGCGCTGGCGTACCTTATGAAGTCCTAGAGCGGGCTGCTGCCATCAAGCCATTAGGTAAGTTTTAGAGAAAAAAAAATATTTTTTAAGAGTCAAGCAAGCAACTGACAATAAACAATTTGTATTTTTCCTAGGAGCGGCTATTTCACTAGGCTCCAATATCTTGCATGTGTTCAACCAGCTGGGTTTGTTGGATGAGTTTTTGGCATTTTCTAAACCCTCTGTTCGTATTTTCATGTGCAACCAAGAACGAGGGGTTGATTATGTTCTTGAGCAAGGATTTGTCAAAGACATGTACGTCCTGCTCTTTCTCCTCTCGCCTTTTTATTGCTTTCCTTTTTTAAGCCTACGTTTTTGCCAGGTAGAGCGGATCTATTGACCTGAAACACACATTTCTGATTTTAAATGATAGGGGTGGATTCCATGGTACTATCTGTACGCGCAAGGATCTCTATGATCTGTTACTTCGTCAAATACCCTCTTCCAAAGTTCACCTTTCGAAAAAAATGATCTCGTTTGATCAAACTACAGACTCCAATGTGGTCACGGTCCAATGTGCAGATGGATCCTCCTATGTAGGAGATATCCTAGTGGGTGCCGATGGTGCCTATAGCACTGTGAGAGAGTGCCTGTACAAGGAGTTGGAAGCGCAGGGCACATTACCCAAGGGCGATTCAGAGCCATTGCCGTTCAATAGCGTTTTGGTATTGGGTACAACTAACGAATTGAGTCCTGAAGAGTTTCCAGAACTGAACAGCGATGAGAGCAACCCACAGATTTTTCTGAAGCATATCAATGGCGTACCATACACTGTAAGCTATCCCATCAATATGGTCATTCATTGATTTTTTTTATATCTTTTCTAAAGAACTTTCCTGTCTTTGGCACATTTTTATCAGTGGATAGTGTTCCCCATGAAGGGAAATACGTTTTGCTGGGGCGTGACAGAATATTTGAACGAGTATTCTACAAAGCAAGAGGCAACTAGTTCTGATAAGGATTGGGGCCCCAAAGGAGCAGAGGCGATGTGCAACCTTTCGCGCGATTTCCCTATCCGAGGTGGACTCCATAACACTCTGACAATAGGCGACATGATCGATCGTACACCTAAAGAGTTAATTTCCAAAGTGATGTTGGAAGAAAAAGTTTTTGATACATGGTACGGCGGACGAGTGGTCCTATTGGGAGACGCATGCCACAAGATGATTCCATCAGGGGCTCAGGGAGCGGTGAATGCGATGCAGGATGCTGTAGCGTTAGCTAACTGGATCAGTGTTTTGGAAAAGACCTCCTCTAAGGATGGTTATCAATCTGCGTGGAAAGAATACCAAGATGAACGCCATCCATTAGCTACACAGTCTTTTGAGGTGAGCCAGTTCATGGGCAAACAGACACTTGGGGTAAGTGAACTTTTTTTTTTTTTTTTTTTCTTTGTTAAAGGAAGGAAATGGTACTCTATTAAAATGAAAGTGAAGATATGGCAAAGCTTGTTTATCTATTTATTTATTTATTTTATTTTATTTTAGTTTATTTTTTTTTTTAACTAATACTTCAACACGGACATTGCATATTGAATATCTGGGGGACTTTGTTTTTCTAGAACTGGGTGGGAACAGTGAGCAGACTGTTTGCAAGATATATGCCAGATTGGTTCCAGAAGTTTGCTATGATGAGGATGATTAGCAATCGACCTCAAGTATCGTTTTTGCCTCCAGCAGAGGATAAGGGAACGGTTCCAGTTATTGATCAACCAAGTCTTCGAAAGACAAAGGCGATGCTGGCTGGTTCTCAAGCGAGGTCATAGACTTTTATTTATTTATTTATAATTATTATTATTATTATTATTATTATTATTATTATTATTATTATTATTATTATTTCAACATAATATATATATATATATAGTCTTGAAAATCTGTAGTAATGGTCAATATATATAGAAAGTATCTAAGGACATGCCTTTGTGGTCGTATGAGCGGAGGAAAATAAGAAAGCGTACCTTTAGAGTAAATTTTTGGCTTGATATAGACAGGTTACCACTTTTTTCTTTTTGTCCGCTTGTCCCTCAGCCAGCTTTGGCGGCAACACTATCGAGTGCGCTAAAGGATAAAGCAAATGGTACGAATGCTTCGAGGGACGATGGAATAGATCATAAACCACATCGACAAACGGATATAGTAGACTACAGTACAAGGATAGCAGCTACATATACAAATAGAGGACATCATATATCCTATTTATCTTCTTACCCATCCCCTCCTCTCCCTCCATTCTACACACCTTTTGTAGTTTTATCCTCTTTGGCATCGGGCGTTTAAGTTAGAAGCAGACAAGTAATAATAGTGTTGGTAATAAAGCATACAAAAAAAATGCAACGGCTTTATTTATTTTCCAAATCAGTCATAACCCCTAGCTGGGATATGCAGCTAGTCGATCCTCAAGGCACAGGAAAAGAGTGATGGTGAGTAGTCCAATGACTCCACTTTCGAATATCCTCTGCTTTTTCAGCTTCTTCCACCAATTTAAAATGAGGCTCGAAAAGCTTCCTTGAGATGTTTTTTTCTTTCTTTTCTCTCTTCTGTTTTTGATCCGCACCTTTCAAGGCTCTTGTGTCTCTCTCTCACCTTCCTTTCGCTTTTACTCTTTCAAACTAATCTCTTCGTACTTATCACTCGTTCTCCCTCCTTTCTTTCTTTATCTCTCACTCACAAAGGCCTTCGCGAGCCCTTCGATAAATCAAAAGGGGGATATAACACACACACACACAAAAAAAAAGATTAAGGCGCGTAAAACAGGCGTTTTACAGTAACAAAAAAAAAAAAGGGTTTTTTTCTATATTTCAGGTAATGTTAGGAGTGAATTGAAAAAAGATCTAGCAATCCCTCACTCTGTCTCTCCCCCAACGTTTTGCTTTTTCTTGCTATCTATGTCACCCCTGTACTTCACAGTATTTTTTTTTTTCTTGATGGTTCCTGGCTTTTTTTTTTTTTTTTCCTCCATTCTTCCTTTATTTTCGAGGCATCCCTCTTTTTATTTTTACGCGTCATGTTTTCTTCTACTTTCAAAGACTGAGCTAAAGAATTAGGCACTATCTATTAAAGAGAAAGAGAAAGAAGCGAAAGAGAAGGGAAGAGAGAGAAAGAGAGCGAGAGATGGGAGAGAGAAGGGGTTTCCTAGTCTATCAGGTTTATTTTACATCACGCTATACTATATTAGCTTCTCTTTCTTTGTCATTTTCAGATATCCTACGAAATATTGGACAAAAAAAAAAAAAAAAAAAAAAAAATGAAAAAAAAGCATGGATCCCGAGAGTAAAGGGAAGTGAGGAAAGATATCTGGGCATGGCTGATAGCGTTGTTGCCAGCGCCTTTGGCTGGTTATGATCCGTAATGTTAAAAAAAAAAAGAAAAGAAAAGGCAAAAAAAAGCCATGAAGGCATTGCTTGAAAGTACCAATCTCCCTTGATACTTTAGTCGCTTCCATGGCAATGGTACTCGATTGAATGACTCATCATTCATATTGTCAAAGAGGACATAGGCCGTCCTAGAGGGTGAATGCCTTTTAAGAGAATAATAAATAGATACATTAAAGGAGAAAGCAAGTTTTTTTTACTATCGTTGGCATTACTGATCTGTTGCTTTTTTTCTGCTTGCATCAATTGGGAAGTCTCGCTTGGCAGCTTATCCACTGGAGGATAATTGTCGATGACGAACCCGTTATTCTTGATACACTTTTCTTTTCCTTTTTTTTTTTTTTTTTTTTTTTTTTTTAAAGTGAGGCATCACCCAAAGCGCTCATTCGAGGTCTCATAAAACCATCAACAATCAATTAAGTACTCTACCCTTTTTTTTTCTGTTGGGGGTTATGCCTATGTTATACGTATTATCATGTATTACGCTTCCTATCAGTAGAACACGCACCCTGATTCCTCTTTTAGTATGGTGAAAATCACATTGATACAGCATTAACCTTTTTCCCCACTTTATTTTTTTTTATTTTTATTTTTTTAACCGCCACTTCCTTTGTGTCAACCAGGCTTAGAAACAGGGAAATGACAAAGGTGAAAACGCGTACTGGCTCTGGAACCTCCAACAGTCGAGACTACCGTGGTGTTGACCATCTTCCTGGTCACTACAGCCCGATCATGGAGACCGATGCTGGCCCAACTCAGCTTACTGCACCTAGATCTGCCAGACGTGGGCGTCCCCCTCTGGTTCGCGTACCTGAACAACAGCAGTACCCCCGTAGCCGCCGAAAGGTAATATAAGCCTATTCAACTATATCAAGATGGTATTAGCAGTTGCATCTAGAGTCTTCAACCTTGTATATTAAAAAGTATGGTCTCTCTTTCTTTCTTTCTTTTTTTTTTTTTTTTTTTTTTTTTTTTTAAAAAAAAAAAATAATGTCCCGCTCGATAGAGGTCCGATGCTCCTTCACCTGTTTCTGTGAGAAGGGCCTCTTTGGACTTGATAGGCCTAACGCGAGACGCTTCCGAGCTTCAACCTCATGAGAAGCGTCAAAAGGTTGCTGCGAATCAGCCTATCCTTTCAGTTCGCCAGGCTCAACAGACCGTTGACGTTCATGAGCCTGGGGAACGAGCCCACTGGGCCACCCCTGCCACCACTGCTGGACCCTTTCGCCCTTCCGCTGACTCTTATCTTGATCGAGGGGGGTCACCTAGTCCACCATCGTCCCCAGTCTTTGCCTACGATGAGCATTTGAAGCATTGGTCCTCATGTGAAACCAAGTCCTTGCACCGCCTTGTGGAGCAGTATGGTGAAGATGACTGGCACTCCGTGGCAAGTCGCATGCCTGGCCGATCTACCCAAAGCTGCAAGCTGCGGTGGGTACGGTACAAGGCCGAAAAACAACGACAGCAGCAGCATACCAGTTCGGACGTAGTTGCTTTTCCCCGAGGCCAGAGTAAAGGCAAAGAGAGAGCCAGCGACAGATTTGCAGATCCTTTGTTTACACTTGCCGCAGCAGCAACCGTCATTGAAAACCTTCCGCCCAACATGATCATCACCATGGCTCCACCTACGGCTCCAGCCCTAATCGAAGCTCGAGCCAAGGACGCAACTATGGCCCCTACCATGACTCCACCTACAGTCTCGAGCATGGTTTCGGGTGTAGCTTCAAATCTAATTGCAGCCTCGACCAAGGAAATGCCCAAGGACGTGGCCATCATTCCATTTTCACACCCAACCATGATCCAGACCGTGCCCTTGCCGCCAATTGAAAATTCGGGTACAAGTCTAGCCATTAGTCCAGCTAAGGGCCCAGCTGCAAACTCAGACCTGGTTGCTGTCATCGAAGCACTGCCTGGGCCTTCGACTGGGCCTTCGATCCAGAAGTCTCTCCAAAGCACCGGACGCCAACCTGACCAAGGGTCACGTCCAAAAAAACATAATGCGGCTTCTGGCCGTTGGAGAGCAGGTGAAGATAAGGCCCTAATGGAAGGAGTTAACGCTTACCTGGCATCGCGCGGCTTGGAGGCCCAGCCCCCAGCCCATCTCCCAACAGAACAAGAGCTCCAGCTGCAGAAGAGACAGCTACAAGAAGAGCAGAATCAACGAGATGCAACCACCATCTTGGCAGCCATTCAAAGACAGGGCGCTAATGCCTACCCTATCACCTCCGTACAAAATCAGCCTGCGTACACGATGCAACAGACGCATCAGTACCAGCATCAGCATTTGCAACAGCAGCATCTCATGCTTCAGCGGAGCCAACAGTCCCAGCAACCACAGCTGCTGCATCAACAGCAACAGTTAATGCTACAGCTCGAGCTGCATCACTATCAGCAGCTCCAGCTCCATGCGCAATACCAGGCACAGCAACGAATACAGCTTTTGGCACAGTATCAGCAGCCTTGGAGCGGAAGCGGACTTGGTCCTGCAGAGGAGGCGGAGCTGTTCAATTCTATGGTTGATCTGTCATATAAAGCCAGCAACGGCAATGGAGGACTCGGCAATGAGGCTGCTAATGCTGTTGAGAGCTCGCCATCCTCTTTGGGCTCCCTTACGGCTGCTGTATCCGCCCAGGATACTTCTTCTAATACGAGTACACGCACGGGGACTACAGTCGTCGGTTCACGCATTTACAGGAACATGCGGTCATCTCATTACGTCCATAACGACGACGAATATTATTCAAGTGCTTCTTCTTATCAGAGCTTGTCTAACACTCCAATATCCATTGCAAGTGCTTCATCATCCAATAATGCATCAGTTAATCCAAGCAGCGGGTCAGGCGCCAAGTGTGACACTGATTTAGCGGAAGCGCTTTGCGAGGCCCTGTCAATGGCAGGGGAGCCGCGTCAATTTTACAGCCCACAAGAAGTCAATGGCACCAGCTGTGAACAGAGCCCACATTTAGTAGCTAGATCCTCAAGCAACGATCTAACTCAGCCCTTCGTCGAAACTAGAGATGACAACCAGGTGCCGCAGCAAGCTCATCAAGACTACTACAAGGAATATCAGACACAAGGCTATCACTTGAGGTACGACGGTGGTTTCCACACTACGGCGGCTTCCCCGTTCCTGCCAGCCACAAAGGTACTTGCGAACCATCAATCGACCCCAGCAGCGAACCCTCAAGCGATTGTATCAGAGGGTATACCAACACCATCGACTGGTCTCCTTCTCGAGCAGCAATTTATGCTTCCCCAGAGTGACAATATTTCCGCAACAGGCTCAACTTTGTACTTTGATAACGCATCCCAGGCTATGGCGACCTATTCTGTGGAGCATCAGAATCAAGCATCAAGTAATACATTAGTGTTTTCTCACGCTGCATCAGCGATTCCTTTCCACCGGGCTCAGATGAACAGCCAACTGGCCACTGTAGAGAGTAACCACAATGGTAGCAATATGCCTCGCGAGCCTGACAGGAACGAAGAGATGGTCAACATCGAGGTAAAGCTTCCGCTTATGAGCAATGATACGTCCCAGGATATGAACGCATTAAACCAGCAACAGCAGAACCAGGAATGGCATCACCATCCTCTTGGACCATGGCTCGATGCTGATGGTGGTGACAATGACAAGAATGGCGATACTGGACTAAGCGATGATGATTTTATATGGAATTGGGATTGGACTTTTTTGGATGGCGAGAAAGGTGGATCTTTGACACCTTGGACGCACACCGGTCTTGATTATATTCTTGGACTCGAGAAATTGGATCCTTCTTTGATTCCCTATCCTCAGGCCCAGGCTCATTCTGGCACCCTTTGTGATTCTCAGCCTCCTTTAATAGCTGATCCTGGTCAACCTTTAACCCCGTTTACTATGTCTTCTATGCATTCTACATTTGATTCCACATTGCTTGGATTCGAACCATTGGCTTTATTTGACATGTTTACTCCTGCATCCTTTTCATCATCTCATTCTCTTTTTGTTTCCGATCATCCTTGTCTATTCCATAATAACATCAGCAGCAGCAGCAGCAGCAGGTCCTACAACAGGCTACGCGACTCAAAATTAAGCTCAAGCTCAAACTCAAGCAGCAGCTCCAGCATCAGTTCCAACAGCAACTGCAATACCATGAACAGTGTTACCAACAATACTACCGACAGCATTATCAACAACACCATCACCAACATCAATTTCAATATCAGCACCAAGGATCCCAAGAGCAACCTGGAGGACATGAAGGAAAAGGAGGGAGCTTTCGACAGTAGGGCTCCATTCTTTTCATTCGACGACATTATGGCCAGTAATGGCTTCCCTGGTGATATCGACTTGGACGGTATCAACTTTTTCACGATCAATAATGAATTTCTTAACGACTCCATTACAAAGGGCATCTTTAGTCCACTTATGAACGATATCAGAGACGACGCCATAACTGCTGCTAATACTACCTCTAGTGGTACCTCTAATACTAGTACTTTTACAAACAAAACTAATAGCATCACCAACACCGACAATATTAATACTGCCATGAATACAACAACAGAATCTAACTCTCAATCAACATCAACATCAACATCTTCTGTCCCCCAATTCCCAACAGCTTCGGCACGAAACAAACCTCAACCACATTTGGGTGATAGACCTCCTCTCAAGACACGTGAAGCCTACAGCCTTGCTATCTCTCGAGCGATGACGACTTGCCCCTGGAGCTATATCACTCAAAAGGCCATCCCTGGACGGAATGGAGTGCAAGCCCAGGCAAGATGGTCTGAAGCGCTGGATCCAAGAGTGAAGAAGGAGCCTTGGACGGCTGAGGAGGATACAAAGTTAATGGAAGGGGTGGAAAAGCATCAAAAGTGTTGGATCTGGATTGCGGATGGGATTCCAGGTCGGACACAACGACAATGTCGAACACGATGGGTGCAAATTACGATCAAACGAGAGCGTGAGGCTGCACAGGCGGCAGTAAACGCGTTAACGGAAGAGAGAAAAGTCAGGGAGAAGATGAAGGGCTTTGAAGAGGAGGAGGGAAGAGAGGAAGAAAGGAAAAGGCTGCAAGGAAAGTGGGAAGTGAAGGCGGAAGAGAATGACGGACAGGATAATGATGAAGATGAAGATTATGTGGAGGAGGAAGAGGATGAGGACATAGATGATGAATGATGGATAATGAGCAATGTGGCCATAGCCAGTAAAACATCAAACGCGTGGTTATAACGAAAATAAAAAAATCAAAAAAAGAAAGAAAAATGGATGCTGAGTTTCTCATACGCGCTGGCCATTAAATCTTAAAGTTTTGCAACGGCGATTGAATTAGAAATAAGTGTAGCGGCTATGTTTTGCATATCTATAATCATATTTCCAAGTCTCTGGCATGCATTCGATTAAGGAAAGCGGAGGCTCATCTTATTTGCTCACTCTTTTTTTTTTTTTTTTTTTTTTTTTTTTGTTGGTATTGTTGTTCTTCAGAACCTGTTTGCGCCCAGAACATCAAGGTTGCAAGGTTGCATGAGAAAGAGAGGGGCTTTGTTGGAAGAAGTATGAGTTTGATGCAAGGTTGCACAGGAAGATGCATGTGAAGTGAACAGATAAACAAGAAGTTATACATTAAATGAACAGCATTAATGTCGAAGGTGATACAGACCAGTCAATCAGGTCAAACAAGAATGAAGCTGCAGCAATTGCAACATTCCAACAAATCTCCTCGGAGAAAAATAATAAAGTACATTGCACGCAGATGATATATCAATACCGTTGTGACCCTAATATATGGATCCATGTAACCATGTAACCATGTAACCATGAAGCTGTTACTGAAATTGCCACTGTAGTTGAATATTGTGATGCCACACTGATGATCAATTCCTTTTCTTTGGTTTTTATATATATATTTAACATTTTAAAGAGTCCTACCTTCAAGAATAAACGATAAACAACAACAAACCAGCTTTTCATATTGGGCACTGCTAAAGAGTACATGTAGAGCGTTTTTTTTCTTTGACAAGTTTGTCATGCAAGCCTGCTCTTTTTTTTTTTTTTTTTTTTTTTAATAGAGCAATGGAGGACAATGAATTGTACATGATCCGATATACATAAACTGACTGCAGTATTTCTTGAAATGAACATCCACTCTGCTTTCAGTTGTAATCCACTTTGTGAAGAAAGTGCGGAAGGATAAGAGAATTAAAAAAAAAAAAAAAAAAAAAAAAAAAAAAAAAAAAAAAAAAGTTTGTACGATCCATGGTCTAGAAAGACGTAAAATAAATCTAATTTTGTCATTTTAAATGCCTAATCATTCAAATAGTCAGTTCTGTTGGTTGGGACAATTGTGGGGCTTGCTAGCTGCATCCAGTAATTAACTGAATATTGATTATACTTCACTTATTAATGCCTGTGCGAAAGATCTATTGTCCCTCTTTGAACCCGCAGCTAAAGTATATATGAATGTTAAAAAAAAACACACATACAGATGTTCGCCTGGGTGTTATTTGATTCATATCTTCTATAGCCCCATGTTGCTAGAGTGCAGCCCCATGTCTCCAGAACGTAGCACAGGTTTATTAAGCTGTGAAGAAGTGGAAATGAAAGAGAGGGGTGTTTTCCATTCAACTTTAAGTTTTTGTACTTGGGGGGATCCAATGAACAATGACCATGCGAGCAAAGTAGCCAACCAAAACAAGTAATAAAAAAAAAACCCGTTCTTTCGGCTCTCTTTTCCTTCGTTTCCTCTTTTTCTTTTTTGTCTTTCATTTCCCGTCCTTTGTATCTTCCTTTTCCCTCTTTCCCTCTCTCTTTCTTTCTCTTTCTCCACATTTAATTCAATTGTACATCCTCAACTCTCTCTCCCCTCTCTTTCCCCTTTCTTCCTTTCACTAAAACTCTCTACACCGACTTTGTACAAATCCTTCCCCGCAAATCGGAAAAATTCTTCGCATGTGTAACTCCTGTCATTGTACTCGAGTACCTTTTTAAGTCGACCTCTTTCAACCCTCTCTCCTTTCACTACATCTTCAACTTCCCCTTGTTTTCGCTTACTCTATCTCTCTCCGGCGTACTTTTGTATATTACAATCACAACGCACTTTCAGGGTAATGAAAAACAAATAAGAAAGAAGACTTACTCTCTACAAGTTTTCTTGCTCTTTTTGCTCTTCAGTTTTCCTTTTTTTTTTTATTTTTTTTTTTTAAATATCATATCATGTCGACCACTAAGGACTAAAAAAGACGCATTGGGTAATCGTGCCATTTTTAATATAATTGTCTAACAGCATCTCGACCGGTTGAGGCGAACCTTAAAAAGGAGTCATCGATCCAAGTCTGTCCGTCCGTCCGTCCCGACGTCCATCTCTGGTTTTTTATCTTTTAACACTCAATATTTTTTTTTTTACTCATTTTGGGGGTTGTTACATATAATTCAAACGTTAAATTTACGCTTTTTAATTCTTCATAATCAGATTTCCTTTGTAATTCATTCACATTATTTTACTTTATCCCTTTTGTCCTTTTCAAAGGGGAAAAACAAAAATCAGATCGGGATCATCATCGTACCGAAAAAAAAAAAAAAAAAAAAAAAAAAAAAAGATTCGCCATTAACATTCATTCATCTGTCAAAACAACCCATCTGGCAACAACAGCAACACTTCCCTTGTAACATATATATATAAAAAAAAAAAAAAAAAAAGAAAGAAAGAAAGGAAAAGAAAAAAAGAGACATCGAAAATGACAACTCCCATCTCACACTTACAAAACACAGATCTTAATCAACATCAGTCTACACTAAAAGATGAGATAGTCCAGGCTTCAAAGATACAGAGTGGTCAGACTCAGCAACCCTCCACAAAGTCCCTCGCCACAACTTCTCGGGCAACACGAGGTACACATCCCCCTCCTTTGATGGGCCCTGCAACTGTCCTTGTCAATAACTCTGCACTGCATTTATTTGGTGGGCGTCTTGAAACCCGGGAACTTGTCAACTGTCACTATGTATTCGATATCAATACTGGGTACTGGCAGGCAATCCAACTGGCATCTAGCCCTTCAAGCAACTCTAATAACACAACTCACAACAACAGCAGTATCAAAAACACAATCGATCCCACAGCGGCTCTCATGTCGCTCTCGCTTACCACTGATCCCGTCGATACTAACTCCGGTTCCTTATCTGACGCCCTCTCAATTTCACCGTGCCCTCGCTACTTTCACACCTTAAATGCATATGGGACGTCCTTAATTCTCTTTGGCGGCATGGGTTTACGAACACGGACAGAGGGCGAAGATAGTGACAATGAGGGAAATATGAGACAAGAGCAACAGTCAACCTCACATTTAGCTGCATTGGACGATCTGCATGTGTTTGATATTGTGACACAACGGTGGCAACAAAAACATCCACCTGTCAATCAGCATTCACCCCGTGCACGTTGGGCCCACATGGCGACGATTCTGGACCATTTCTTGGTAGTCATTGGTGGAACGGACACGAACAAGGCCTATGTCGAGGATGCATGCGTCCTTGATCTTCATACCTGGGAGTGGGTTGCGTCGGTCCAAAACATTGGGCAATGTGGGACTTATCGAACCGTGGCAGCAACAGGTCCTAGTACGGAATCCTATAATGAATATACACCATCGACTCATTCATTCCCATCTGTAGATGCGTTTAATTCTCCTCAGTTCTTCTCATCTAATCTTTCGTGGCCCGTAGCAACAACCACATCAACATCATCATCATCATCATCATCAATAGCAGAAGAAGAAGGTACACTGATAGACGCTATGGCCAGTATTTCATTAGTCCTTAATAGCGGCCGTATATCTGCTCCTAGCTCTACTACATCGTCAGATATTAATCACGTTGAGACAGAAGAGCAGATTAAAAAGAGCAACACCAGCAGCAGCAGTAGCAGGAAGACGTCTGAACGACTAAAGAGCAGTGAACTGACACCAGCATTTAAAGCTGGAAAAGATTTACCTTCCATCTATCTCTACTCTAATTACAACTTTCAAAATCTGCAAAGGGAATTCAAGGTCATCCTGCCTCGATACATTCCATCGTCCTCAACACCTGTATTCACCTTGGTCGATAAAACACAAACACTAGACAAGATGCAATCTGAACTCCCCTCAGGTCTAAGGTTCCCTCAAGGGCATATATACCAGAACCAGCTCATCCTCACAGGAACGTTAATTGTCCCAGGAAAGGCTCCTACGCTCGCCATCTATTCCTACAACTTGTTGTTAGAAAAATGGGAGCCACTGGACATGGATAAAACATTGCTGACGGGTTCATGGAGTAGGACAGTCCTCCATCCTGCCACGGGAACACTGCTTATTTTTGGTCGCCGTGATTCTGATGCAGAGACAGATTATACGAGTCGAATCCAGCACCATGAACATCTGATGATGATCAATTTGCAAGCGTTTGGATTATATGAGCGACCCATCCCTTCGTTTTCTGTCCCAGCACAGGACTTAGGCCAGGATTTGTTACGGGGACCTGGATTGAACGATATGCATGTTGCTTCAATATCTGGTACACTCTTTGACGCCAATTCGACCATTCTAGGAGCCAGATGGCCTGAATTCTCATCCATGCTGCTGTCTCCACCGTATGTAACGCCGCTAATCCTGACCTTGCCAGTACCTGACGAGGTAGTGCCGGTTTTCTTACATTACCTTTATACAGGAGCGTTACCTGCCAAAACGGTGATCACTCCAGGTATGGCTGATTACTTGCTTATTCTTGCAAGACGGTATCAGCTCAATGGGCTCCATGCATTGACAGTTGATCTTTTGCACCAAAGCGTTGTCCATAACCCTGTACGGATATACAGCTCTGCGTTGATGGCAGGGGAACTTGGACTTCAAGCAAGAGCAATTGGGTTAGCAATGGCTGCATTGCCTACGAATGGCCCCACTATAGCCCCACCACGACCACCATCATCATCTAATGCAGCACCTCAGAACTCAGATATGCCGGGATTGTCATTCTCAGATCCTAGACTGGCAATACCACCCAGAAGAAGGCCATCTACGCAACCTCGCCAGTTAGTTGATACCAGCTTGAGCAGGGGCTATAGTAATCGAGTCCCACCACCATCAATTCGACCTCCTCAGGCACCGGAGCGGCATGAAGGCCCTCGAGATAGCATGAGCACCGATGGTGGCTTCAGCGTTGTGGGCGAGACTCTCCTACAGCAGTATAATCCCGACGCGGCTAACGTAATAGATGGCAGCAACGTCAGCAACAACAGCCAACCATCAGGGACAGCCAATGTGTCGTCATCCCAAGATGTTTCGCCGTATACTCCTTCTCGTTCCGCATCTAGACAACGTAAGGTGCGATCGCCACCTCTTCCACCCCATTTACAACATCCTACATCCTTGGGTCATCCTCATCCACTGTCAGTGATCAGTACAGGTTCTGGAGGATCCTATGAGAGCCCAGTTTCGTCTCCAATTCACCTCAGAGGTGTAGGTAGTGGACAGCAACTTTACCAACAGTATCAACAGCAACAGCAACAGCAACAACATCAGCTAGCTTATCCTTCACCGTTATCCCCTAATAGCCATTCGATCTCATCCTTCGCTTCACAGGGAGTAAATCTTCGTGGCTTTGATGTTGGTGCCCACAGTGTTTTAGGCTTTGAGGATCAAGACGATGGATCATCCATGTATTCAGGATACCAAGGACAAAATCAACAGCATCAACTACGGGCTCAGCAAGCAAAGAGACGGCTTCAGATGCAGATGCAGATGTATTCTGATGCTTCTGTTGATCCTCAACAAGTCGAATTCACGAGACAGCAGCAGATATTGTTAGAGCAACAGCAAATGAGAGATGAAGAAATTATGTTGCAACAACATCAACAGCGGATGAGACAGCAGCAACAGCAACAGCAACAGCAACAGCAACAACAACAGCAACAGCAACAGCGACAGCAACAGCAACCCAAAATAGCGGACGTAGAACAGCCGGTTGTGTATCATAATTCTGCAGCAGCGACCATGGGAGCATTGGAGTATCATGCAGGAGGAATGTCTAGTTATAAATCATCAAAGGGTAGCAGTGGATATGCGCCTAGCCACATGACAGTCGAGACAACGAGTGAAACGGTCACATCTCAGAAATCCAGTAACAGCAGCGGTAAAGCTATGAGTGTCAAGAGCCAGGGCAGTGATAAGGACAAGAAAAAAGGGCTATTGTCCAAGATGAAGCCTCCAAAGCCCGCTGCCAGTGGAGCAGAGTTGATGAAGAGCGCAGGATTTTAGTTTGTTGGAAAAGTAATTGGGTAGATGCATGGGAATGCAGGTGTATTTTATTTTACAAATAGTAATAATAATTAAAAAGTTTTTGTTCAATTCTTTTGTCCATAATTGTGTCTCATAGTGAGAACCATTAACATGTTAGTGTACTTTTTTGTGTGCAAAGTAAAATAAAAAATAAAAAAAAAGATAATGGGTAGTAGCGAGGGTATATGAAGCTGTTAAGAAGCCTGAAGGACGAAAAGATGCATTGTATTAATTAACAAGATGAAGGTCGGAAAGGGTTGATGCAACATGGGATCAAAAAGATATAACAACAAAGGTGAGTATGAAAAAGATAAAAAAAAAAAAAAAAAAAAAAAAAAAAGCTTCGAGATTGGGAGAGTATGTGAGATGGAGAAATCGAAATGAAAGATAATACTACAGTTTTTTGACTATGCGTCGGACATAGTCTGATAAATAGGCAAGTACCAGTCCAGAGACAGCATGCTCAAGCATCTTCCCGACAGGAGCCCATACCATCCCTGCTGGAGTGAATGGTGTGCTCGGCAAGAGTCCTACGGCCTTCATGGCCGCTTCAGTTGTTGCAAACTCATTGCTAACAACCTGTTTTTCTCGCCGATCCTGTAATTGAGATTGTTTCAGACGGAAACCATCTCGCTTGATTTTCTCGTACAATTCTTTAGCGACCGAAGCGCCTGCGCTTTCACGATCGCCATAAATGTATGTTAACCAAACTCGAGGACCACCCTTCGTCATTTGAATGCCCATCCATGCCAGAGATGCCTCACTGAGCTTAAGGACTACCCATAGGATCAACATTAGCTCCAGAGACTCTGTCAACACATGCATCATCCGTCTTCGGAGCCATGTATGCTTCCAGAGTGAGTACAACTGCATGAAAATGCTCTGTGGCCGACTGGAACCTACTCCCTGACTCCTGAATCGACGGGACTGAGATGACGATGATAAGGTTCTGTGTGATGAAGATATTGTCATTGAGCGTGGAGATGAAGGGGAAAGCCGTGACCTTGTGTAGGAGTTAGTTCTTCCACCCAGTCGTTGTCGTTGTTGCTGGTGAAATTGTAGCTGCTGTGTCCGGACCTGCGGACCTAACAGCTGTGTCTGATATATCCTCTGAAATCGCTCCGCCCTGCTCCTTGGATGTGATGATGACGAAATCCTATCTGCGCCAACAGTGGATCTTAAATTGCTTCCTGTGAATGGTACTGTTGGCTGCGAGGCATCTTGATCAGCTATCGATGAGGCAGAATTGAGGGGCACTGATGACGTTGCTGTTGTTGATATAGGGGATAGAAATAGGCAGTCGTCCATTGGTTCTTCGGTGTCCAGAATAGTGTCATTAAAGAGCATCTCCAGCTCCAGCGAGACTCGATCACACGACCTTCTGTAGCGTTCATATTGCTCTGATTGCTTCTCTCTCCACATCATTTTCGAATATACATTTCTTCCAGGACGGGGCTGCTGCCACTTCGTCATATAGGATGATGATGGTAAGGGTGCTGATGATGATAATGACTGATACGGCCCTGCCTTATCTCTATCGGGTCTTGTATGTGAGATAGAGCTTCTACGAGAAGTTCGAGGGGAGGAATGGCTGATACAGCTACAGCTGCATTCGCCATCGTCTGTGAACTCTGCTACTGAATCAGTGGATGATTGTTGTTGTCCTGCTGAAGATTGTAAGAGTAAACGAGGCATAAGATGGCGACAAGGCCGTCTTCTATCTAAATTAGGGATAATGGAGGACGAGACGGAAGGAGCAGTGCTTGTGCGTGAAAGAGCGGATTGCGCCTCTGTGATGAGGGTTTGAAGGGCGCCGCATATCCGATTGTAAACAATATTTGAATCCTCTTCGCTGCCAGATCCAGATCCAGGTTTTGAGCTAGGAGCTACAGATTCCTGCTCACTATCCGATTCATCAGAGTCAACCAATGTTTCTTCAGCACTATATCAAAAAAAAAAAAAAAAAAAAAAAAGGCGAACTAGTGTCAGTTTGACAAGTATTTTAGTTGGAACATTGTAGTAGATAACTGGTCGTTCCGTTCAGATGCTTCGTGCCAAGACCACGATATCTCCCATAATTATTTAAAGTGGATTGCTGATTTGTCATAGCATTTTCCTTTTTTTTTTTGAGCTGCTCAAGATTGTTCCACCAAATCAAAATTTACTGTCTCTCGGGGTGAGTGGGAAGGGTATACGCGTTTCATTCCAAAGCCAAGAATTCTCATGTGGTCACTTAAACCGTAATCTTACTCTGCCAACAAGACCTTGAGTTCGTCCACAATATGCCTGTTCGAACTCTCTGCCCTACAATAGAAAATACAAACAAATAAACAGACAAAATAGAGCCAAGTCGGGTCAGGACATCTCTTGCTAAGCATATGACTTGGTTTTCAATAACAACAATAACAATAACAAAAAAAAACTCCTTCTCCTTACGCGTTAAGTCTGTTTTCTAGGTCAAAGACAATGGCGCGAGTATCAGCAACCTCGGATTGCAATCGTTGTACAAGATGCTCAAGTACATCGCCCTAAATAAGACACGAGTATTTTTTTTTAAGGTAATGTGATGTTGCCATAAGAATAGAATAACATGTGAGTTGTAAAATGAGAAGAAGGAGAAAAAGATGTGGAGCAACTGAGAGGATAAATAGGGGGATATGAGAAAGAAGAATGTCATGTTCATGAAGATGCTTTGGGAGTGTCTATGGCCCATAGTATGTAGAGAGCAAATTGAAAAAAATGGCCCAATAGCTTATGACTCCGCCCAATAAAATGTACATCTGCACGAAAACTAAAAAAAAAAAAAAAAAAAAAAAAACTTTTTTTTTCTTCGCTTGGAAAAAGAAAAATGATGACGCACGGGGCCGGAAGTCGAGTGTGGAGAAAGTGGAGAAAGGAAAAAAAAAAAAAAAAAAAAAAAAAAAAAAAGACACGGTTCGGGCGAAAAAAAAAAAAAGAACAAGGGTTCAAGATTACAGGAAATGGCAAGATAAAGATACAAATTTTTCCGATCGGAGGAAGGAGTATGCGTATTTTTTTTTTTTTTTTTTTTTTTTTGCTTTTTACCTCCGGCCCGAATCCAGAGTCGGAAAGAGACCTTATTGCTACTTCTGTCATTGATGCTAATTGTGAGGATGGCTCAACATGATTATGAATGTGCTCCTCAGCAACAGACTGCGTTGTGATAGGAGTCGTTGACTGTTGAGTATTGATCATTGTGCTGTGATCATTGGATAAGGATGGATCAGTATCGTGTGTATCGTTATTTGTGCCTAGCTCTGATAATTCAGGATCTGTTGATACTATCGTTTCTGCTACTTCTGCTGGTACTGTTGTGGTTTCCGTATTGGGTGGACTGATAGCCAGATATGCGAAACGATGCTGTTTACTCTCTGCATATGAGGTTTGATTAGAGGTGACACTATCTTCACCACTGTGGTTTTGATCATAATCATTATCATCAAAGTCAAAGGACTCGGGCGCAATGGTGGTTGAGCTTGCGTAGGAATAATGACGTCGGTCGGCAGAGTTGCGTCTGAAGCGCAATTGATGTGCAAGGGTTTGTTTTAATTCATGGTCGCTATCGTTATCTGTATCATAGGCATTAGACTGTTGAAAAGACCAAGGGTTAGTGGTATTGATGTTATTGATGCTGTGTTTGCTGTCGTTGTTGACGTTGTTGTCGTTATTGTCGGTATTATCATTGCTGTCGTTGGCGTTAAGAGTGTGGTGGTGGTGAAATGACTTCATAGTGTCATTGGATTGATGCAAAAAAATAAAAAATAAAAAATAAAAAATAAAAAATAAAAATAAAAAATAAAAATAAAATAAATTGAAGAGGAGAGGGTGTGTGTGAAGAAGGTAATTGAAAGATGAGGAGGATGCAATTTCAAATTGACATTTGAGATTCGATTACAAGAAAAGAGAGCACCATATTCCCCGCAAAGTTCAACGTGAAAGTAATCATAAAAAAAGAGCATTGCCGTAGTGTGTATCATTTGTTTATGGATTTGCACATGAAATATGAAATATGAAATAGAAGAATAAGGTCTGGTCCCTGAAATTGAAATTTGCTTCTTCTTGTTTGCAGTAGTAACAAACACTTTTTTTTTGACTTCATTAAAGTATGTTTCAACGCGTTTCGATCTCTAAATCATTTTAACACAAGCATGTTAAGCAACAATTAAAATTATATGACAAAAGATAGTTACATTCTGCCAAGAAAAATAAAGATGTCCTACTTGAAACGAACAACTTGCTTCCCCATATTAACCCCATTTAATATATGTATATATATTTTTAACGAGACGACAAATGCAAAGTTGACCAACAAAAAAACCTGTGCTACAGTATGTTTAGGAACAAAAAAAAAAAAAGTAGGTTCTACCCCAACTCATGTTGTCTTCTTGGCGCATTCTTTCTATGGTGGTATGCATGTTGGAATCAGATTCCCTAGCGCCACATCGCTACAAACCTTTTTGAAAGCTGTACCTGACAGTAATAGGCCATCTCTGGCGCTTTAAGGTAATGACTGTAAAAGTCTCTGTTTCCCTGATGTTCGTTACCGATTGCTTTATTCGGAACATCTCCGTGACAATTCTTTGTGAAAAGTCAGAATTTAGCAACCGTTGTGCGAACTACATGCCCATGACATTGAATCATTGTATTAAGAATGCATATTGAGCGATATATTCGATGTTTTTGATGCCACATTTCATCCCTATCGTCTAAGCGAATGCCATCATTGAATTCCCCAAGCAACAAGGATAGTCTTCGCAACTGATATGCCTGACGACATCCATCTGATCTTGTTCAAGTGCGGATTGAAATATCCCCTGGGGCCACTTGATGGTGTTTCACGGAATGGATAGCATCATGTTGATATGGTCAGAGAGGAAGAGTCCACAGAAACGCGGAAGATGAAACCAGTAGACCAGAATAGAATGTGGGGATTGTGCACTACCCTTAACTTGTTTATGTCACATGATCAGGCCCGTGATCACACAATGTACGTGATTACGCGTCGTTTCTACCAGCATTGAACACAAAGTGTCTTGTACTCGCTTCTCAATCCATTACGCATCCTTTTCCTTTTCCTTTTTTTTTTTACTCATTCTTGTTGTATATTCGCCTGTACACTCTTAGTTTTACTTACATCCAAGTCTCGTATTTACCACTACAACTACTATTATAACTATGGCTGACGGAAAGGGCAAAGCAAAGCTTGTGTAAGTTTATAGTCATAAAGCTGCTTCGCAAAAGCAACATTTTCCATTACTTTCATTTATTTGCACCTAGAAACTGACTTTTTTTTATTACATTTTGCTTTCTTACCTTCAAATAATGAAGCGAGAATGCCTCGATTTCTGCACCTAATGTTGACCCTGAGCATGACCCCGCCACCGCCATTCTGAGAAAGAAGGCTGCTCCCAACAAGCTCATTGTCGACGATGCCACCAATGACGACAACTCAGTTCTTGCTCTCTCGACTGCCACCATGGAGAGGCTCCAGTTCTTCCGTGGAGATATGGTTCTCGTCAAAGGAAAGAAGCGTCGTGACACCGTTTTGATTGTCTTGGCTGATGATAGTATCGAAGACTCGAAAGTTCGTATCAACAAGGGTAAGTAAACTAACGAAGGATTTGATCGGATAATAAAAAAAGAGAGGGGGGCTATGCTTTGGCTGAAGAAGTAAAAAGTCGATCAAAGATGCTAACCTCATTGTTCTTTATGGCCACCACTTCATTATTATCATTATTTTTTTTATACTTTCCTTGCCGCAGTCGTCCGCAACAACTTGCGTGTTCGCCTTGGTGATGTCGTTTCGCTTCACACCTGCACAGACATCAAGTACGGCAAGCGCATTCATGTCCTCCCTGTGGATGACACTGTCGAGGGCGTTACTGGCAATTTGTTTGAGGTTTATCTCAAGCCTTACTTCCTCGAAGCATACAGACCTGTCCGCAAGGGCGATCTATTCCTTGTTCGTGGAGGTATGAGAGCTGTCGAGTTCAAGGTCGTCGAGACTGATCCTGCAGAATACTGTATTGTAAGTTTTTTTTTTTTTTTTTTCTTCATTCGATTGCAGATTAAATGCTTTAATGACAATTATCTGACTTCTTCCATCTTCCATTATAAATAGGTTGCGCAAGACACTGTGATCCATTGCGAGGGTGAGCCCATCAAACGTGAGGATGAGGAGTCCAATCTGGCTGATGTTGGTTATGATGATATCGGAGGATGCAGAAAGCAGATGGCTCAGATCCGTGAATTGGTCGAGCTTCCTCTTCGTCACCCTCAGCTCTTCAAGTCGATTGGTATCAAGCCTCCACGTGGTATTTTGATGTTTGGGCCTCCAGGAACAGGAAAGACTTTGATGGCCCGTGCTGTTGCCAATGAAACTGGCGCCTTCTTCTTCCTCATTAATGGACCTGAAATCATGTCCAAGATGGCCGGAGAGAGTGAGAGTAACCTGCGCAAGGCCTTTGAGGAAGCTGAAAAGAACAGTCCTGCCATCATTTTCATCGATGAGATCGATTCGATCGCGCCCAAGCGTGAAAAGACAAACGGAGAGGTTGAGAGACGTGTTGTCTCACAGTTGTTGACTCTTATGGATGGACTGAAAGCTCGCTCCAATATTGTTGTCATGGCTGCCACAAATCGTCCCAACTCTATTGACCCTGCCCTTCGTCGTTTCGGACGCTTTGATCGCGAGATTGATATTGGTATCCCCGATCCAACAGGCCGTCTCGAGATCCTCCGCATTCACACTAAAAATATGAAGTTGGACGACGATGTTGATTTGGAGCAGATTGCTTCCGAAACTCACGGTTACGTCGGATCTGATGTTGCTAGCTTGTGTTCTGAAGCTGCCATGCAGCAAATTCGTGAAAAGATGGATCTCTTTGATTTAGACGACGAAACTATTGATGCGGAGGTCCTCGATTCATTGGCAGTTACAATGGAGAACTTCCGATATGCTTTGGGTATCTCAAACCCATCAGCGCTTCGCGAGACTGTCGTCGAGGTTCCTACTATTACTTGGAACGACATTGGTGGTTTGGAAAAGGTCAAGCAAGAGCTCCAGGAGACTGTTCAATACCCTGTCGAGCATCCCGAAAAGTTCCTCAAGTTCGGTATGTCACCTTCACGTGGAGTCTTGTTCTATGGTCCTCCTGGATGCGGCAAGACCTTGTTGGCAAAGGCTATTGCCAACGAGTGCCAAGCTAACTTTATTTCGATCAAAGGACCTGAATTGCTCACCATGTGGTTTGGAGAGTCTGAGGCCAACGTTCGTGATGTATTTGACAAGGCTCGTGCTGCTGCACCCTGTGTAATGTTCTTTGACGAGCTGGACTCAATTGCCAAGGCTCGTGGTGGCGGTGGTGGAGACGCAGGTGGTGCAGGGGACCGAGTTCTCAATCAAATTTTGACTGAGATGGATGGAATGAACGCCAAGAAGAACGTGTTTGTGATTGGTGCTACTAACAGACCTGATCAGATTGATGGAGCATTGTTGCGTCCTGGACGTTTGGATCAACTGATTTATATTCCTCTGCCTGATGAAGCATCGCGTCTTGCAGTGTTGAAGTCAACATTGCGCAAGTCACCAGTTTCAACCGAGATTGACCTCAGCTTCATTGCAAAATCAACGCACGGATTCTCTGGTGCTGATTTGACAGAGATTTGCCAACGTGCTTGCAAGCTTGCTATTCGTGAGAATATTGAAGCAGACATGCGCAGGGAGCGTGAGCGTAAGGAACGTGGAGAGGATGCAGCGATGGATGAGGATGAAGACGATCTTGTCCCTGAAATCACGCGTGCCCACTTTGAGGAGGCGATGAAGTTTGCACGTCGATCAGTGCAGGATAGTGACATTCGTCGGTATGAGATGTTTGCACAGAACTTGCAGAACTCACGTGGATTTGGGACGTTCAAGTTCCCAGAAGGAGGTGTCGGTGGATCAGCACCTGCACAGTCCGAGTCGAACCAAGCATTTGGTCAAGACAACACTGCAGACGATGACCTTTATTCTTAAAGGAAAGAAAGAGAGAAGACAGAGTCAAGGAGTTTGCTATCATGACACATCAAAAAATCATCCAACCGCAACAAGCAAACATCTTTTTTGTACATTTACAATATCAGTCCATTTTTCTTGATGCTTTAGGAATACAACAGTGTAAATCGCTTTATCAATAAAATTGAATCAATGCAAATCAAATTGCAGTACGCTAGTGTCTACTCTTCTATCAGTATTTTATTTTTTATTTATTTATTACATCGTTATTAAACAAAGGAGAACGACATGGTCTTGGAAAAAAGCTCCAGAGCGTTATCAAGGTTCGAAGCAGACTCCCTTGTAAACGAACACGTAGGAGTTCGGGTGCATGCAGTTATACTTGTTCAGCTCACAAGGGTTTCCAAATGTTCGCATGACTCCAGTTAACGTAGATTTTGCACAGACAGGATCATATATCGTTATACAAGAATGAGGGCACTTGGTTGGTGCAGTTTGCACAGAGGAGGGCATAATCAATGCCACAAGAGCGACAAGAAGAGCAACAGTGCTTGAGGGAAAAGGTTGCATTTTGACAGAGCGAGAGGATTTTAAAGACGAGGTGATTGCTTGATGACGAACAGGTTTTGATGAAGAAATGAAAGGCTTTTATACAAAAAAGAAAGGACCCATCGAGTTTCAGCCATATCTTTGTCGTTCTTGAAATAACTGCCTTTCACAGCCGCAAGAACAGACGACAGTGCAAGATTTGGTGTCTAGAATGACGGGTGACCAAAAAACAAAAACAAAAACAAAAAAAAAAAAGTAACGAAGCATCTTGAAACCGATGCACGTCGGCGAATGCGTGTCAAAAATAGGTTGAACACTGTTGGTCCAGAAAGTCTGTCTCCGTATTCACGGCGTTTCTTTTTTTTTTTTTTTTTTTTTTTGAAAATGTTGGCGCCTCAGGGATCACACACATTGCAGCCATAACTATTTTTACAGATGTTTCTTTCTATCAGTTTGAATAGACATTAATAAAAAGAAGAGTCGTTCATTTTTGTTATTCCACCGATTCTGTTATGCACAAAATAAAAACACTGAAAAAAAAAACTGCTCTAATTAGACACGGTGTCCTGTAGGATTGCATAGACATTCCTGTGTTTAGAGGGTTGACTTTTCGCTCGCACATCACTACATCAGCGATGGTGTGGTAACTCAAGGTAAAAGAGAAATAACAATATAACATATTGATTATTTCAATACTTTTTAATGGTGGTATACCACCAGTCTATCATAATTCTTATATGTCTATCAACTCTAAAAATGGCTTTGATGTAAATCGACGAAAGCTTGAGTGCAATACTTAGCAACCGCTAGGCTTGGGAGAGATTCCACTACGTAACATGGAATCCAAAATGATTAGAATACATATGCATAATTAAGAGAAAGTAAACTCGTCCGATTCAAGAGAGGAACAGCGAAGAAGGTAAAAGTTAAAAGAAAGAAAGAAAGAAAGAAGAGAAGAAGAAAAAAAAAAAAAAAAGTGACTTACGTGCATTTAGGCGATGCTCCAGTAATGTTAATCTTTTGGAAATTGAACTTGTCGCACTTGGCACAGAGGATGTAGACATTGTTTCTTCCTTTCTTGCTCATGGTACCACGGATGTTGTTGAGGTTCACATTGGTGATAGGAGCGGCCCCACCAGGCTTTCCAGTGGGTCCTTCATTGGTGTAATCCTGTTGGATAATAACACCATACTTGTGAATGTTGGACATTGTAATGTCTGTATAGGTAATATTGTTGACTTTACCGCCCGTCGCGTTGGCATAGGCCTTGATACGGACAGCGTTGTCAGAGTTCACAATGTTACAGCGAGCGATTGAAACACCATCAACCACTCCACCAGCCTTGATAGAACCCTGTTTTTTTAATGGCGATGTTTTTTTTGTAAAAGAGGTAGGAGCGTATGAGTAAAAAAAAAAAAAAAAAAAAAAGAAGCTCTGTTTGCATATTCACAGACAGCAATACTCTCTTAAAGTCTTTCTTTTTCTTTTTTTTTTTACTGCTTATACGTACAATTGAAACACCATGACCACCATCGCAAAGATTGTCGTTGAAGACGATGTTGGAGCCGCTGTTGACAGCAAGGCAATCGTCGTTATTGTACACTTTGGCACCTACAATTGTGATACCTTTGGAGTCACCAGAGATATCAAAGCCATCTGTATTGTGGCCAAGACTATAGCTGGGTCCGCCTTTTTTTTTTTTTTTTTTTTTTTTTTTTCGTGAATTCAAAAGAAATAAAAAAAAAAAAAAAAAGGAAATAAAAGCATCGTAAGAAAAAAAAAAAAGATTGAGTCATATCCAGAAACCACCATATTGAAAGTGCGTAAGGATTAACAGATCCCTCCTGAAAATATATGTAACGATACAAGGCATTTGAGCAACTTACGGTTATCAATGGTAATGTCCTTAAGAATAAGTCCATTACAGTTATTGACAGAGAAGGTGTGGACAGGCGATCTAAGGATAGTCAGTCCAGTAATTGAACCACTCATTTTGCGGAGTCTGACAAACTTGGGCTTATTGACACCACCATTGCCTCCTTTGCCATCCCAATATGCCTTTGTCAGGAGTAGTAGTAAAAAAAAAAAAAAAAAAAAAAAAAAAAGGGTTAACGGTTAAGACGATGTTTCATTCGTGCCACTCAATAAACTAAAATGAAGTAGCAAAAAAAGAAAAAAAAAAAAAAAAAAGACACTTACTGGACCGTTGCCATCGAAAACTCCCTTGGTGCCATCAATGTTAATGTTCGAACCACCAATGGTGACGAGGTCGTGGTCCTTTCCAAGATTCCCTTTGGCGAACGTGATAGTGCCAGCTAATGAAGATCAGAGTGGTTGTTGTAAGCTTCGACGTTGACCTCTGTTGAGAGCAGGAACAATTATGAGACTGAGGAAAACAAAGAAAAAAAAAAAGTGTGGGATAAAGAAAAACATACTAATCTTGATTGTGGTGCCGGTCTTGAGTCCAGTGAGATCAATCTTTTTGTTAGCAGGCACGGTAAATGGGCCTTGGATGACAATCGCACTACAACCTTTGGTCCCTGCGATTTGCTCGTAAGATGTAGCGGTGCATCCGGCACGTGTCTAAAGGGTGCAAAAGAATAGTATGAGACAGTTCGAAGGTTAAGTTGGTAAGGAAGGTCTCACAGCCATGTTCTTCTCGTTCACTTAGCGACCCTCACCTGGACAGGCCCAGCAATGACGGTAGTGGCCAAAATGGCGGGAACGATAAGAGAAATTCTCATGATGGAGAGTAGGAAGCAATTCTGAGTAAGGGTTGAGGATTTGGAGTGCTTGTTGTTTTGGATGGGTGTTTTGTTTCCTACAACGGCAGACATATCGCCCTTTTTATACTGTCGAGAGTCCTTTGTCGAGGATGATGGCATGTGCATGCCTATAGTCTTCTGTTTGTGGAGTAGCGATGCTATTCAGCTCTAGAAGACAGCAATCCTCAATTGGATATAATATGGATCCAAGAAGCTGCCATTACACAAATTAACATTTCAATGAAATTATTACCTTGTGCAACCGCCAGAGCCATGGACGTTGTACTAGAAGAAAAGTACCAAAGACAGGGCATATGTTATGAAAAGGATCCCCACGGTCAATTGTGGAGCAGTTTATTTAAGGGAAGGTACTGACATGCAGCTAGAGTTTAGGGTCCAGGTTCTCAAACATAGTGGCGGGTAATAGCATGGGAAATTAGGAAATTAACATGGTCAATGTGTCACAGTCATTTGTTTGTATCTCATGGAATTTATTTTAAATTGCCTGAACCTTGTCATATTAAATGCAGGAAGGTGTACACCCGTGGGATACATCCACATTGAATAAAAAAAAAAGCTCTTCTTGATCGAAGTTTGGCAGCCTATAGTTTATAAGACCGATCCAAGAGAGGAATGGTATCTGGCTGTTATGGTCAATTAACAACACGAGTCGCGTAATGTTGCTTTGTCTGCAAGTGTGAATGTGAATGTGAATGTGAGCACAGGCATAAATGGGATATTTGAAGCCAATTGGGATGACCGTGGCTTGTGCTTATTATCTGCAAATAAAATATGGATGGTCTTGGCTTGTTAAATCGTTTTTAATTAGCACTCATAGACACCCAGGATTAAGCAACACGAGAGCCCAAACTGAAGGCCGAATGCGCATTCAAGAGAGACCTTCTGACTGAGTTACAGTACAATGGGGGCACACACTACCAGGTCGACAACAGATTTAACAAGTAAAGTTAACCGGAAATCTTTTTCACAGTGGCAACAAAAAATAAAATGGTAAGAATAAATTTCATATAAGACCAGACATATCTCCAGATGATTGAAGTGGATCAAGTGATCTGTCTCATGTAGAGTGGTCCAGGCGCAGTAGCGCTGAATGTTGGAAAAGAGAACATAGATTTCCGTAGGAGATGGGCCGGTAACTAATAGGATAGGCAATTGAGATGCTGACGCGACAGGTATATTTCCTGACTGGCGCTGACATGCAGCGGCCTCATCAGAGATTATGGTGACCACAGCGCCAAGTTCCTAATTTAATTGGTAATTGCTTTTAGCCCTTGAAGTGGCTGATACAACGAGGAAGCTCACATCCTCAGTATTCGAGCGAAGTAAACTGCTGACAGCCCATTGGTCCTTAATGAATACCGACCCTCCGAAGGGACAATGCCAATCCAAGATGGAGTAACCCCAAAGCTTCCAGCTTCATACGATACTTGGGTGCATTGACATGAATCATGCATAAAACCTTAGCAGCTAGCGCGGAAAGCTATTCAAAGAGAGAATGCAATAGTAGCATATATTTCTATAAGACTCATGAGACAAATACTCAAAGGATGCAAGGTCCTAACTAGACTAATCTCAATTATCCATTTTTCATATTTCTCATGTTTTGGAAGCTCTCGCAGAAGCGAATGGAATAAAAAACAACTGCTTAGCTTTTATTTTTATTAATTCAGTGATAAAATCAAGCTAACTAGCGCTTGCGCTTGTAAAGCAGATGCCTTTGTAATCATTGCCCTTATTAACAGGCTCCATCACGGATGAACTGATAGGGATCGTATGGGTACTTGCAGTTATGTAAATCCAAATAGCACGAGTTTTCAAATGTTTTTTGCCTGCCGCTCATGCCGGCTGCACAGACAGGATCATAGAGTGTAGGGCAGCCAACAGGACATTCAACTGCTGCCTCGGGTTGCTCAGAAGGAGGAAGTGGGCTTGCAACGACAGACTCGATCATGGTCATGATTATAGCCACAGTAGAGGCTAGGAATACAGTAGCAGTTGGGAGGGAGAAGTGCATTTTTGTTGCGTTTTTCGTAAAGGTCGGAGGAGTAGAGTAATGGGTTCTAAAATGCAATAGGTAAAAAGAAGGTATTGACCCATCAGAGTTAATCTTTTTATACTTGAAAGAAAGCCTCTCGACCAATTGATGATTACTCATCTTGTCCGAAGCAAAACACTCTAGGGACAGAATCAAAACACCTGCGAGGGCCACGCTACTAAGGCAACAATGCCGTTGACGCCGTCATTGCTAATAGATGCTTGCAGCTAAGCCGGCTTGAGCCTTGATAATTGTCAATGTCAATGTCCTATAAGCACATCACCTTGCTCTTTTTTTTTTTAAATACAAACATTGTCATGGAGAATGATTGGTTAGGAGATTTTTTTGTTGACACCCTACAAACATCCTTGCTACTCTAGAAACAATAAACGCGCCGCTTTTTATGATAGCTGTTTCTCTTTGCTCTATATGAGTAGTCGAAATATGATTGTGTGCCATCAACATGTATATACAAAGAAATGATTACCCTAGCCCCATGGTTTGGTGAAAGTAGACGAGTGATCGGTTGATGTGCTCCTGTCAAAAAGTCTAAACCAAGCACTGTAGTTGTAGTAAAATGAAGGGAGAGTGAGTAAAGCTTTGCCTCAACTTCATACTAGGATTGAACTCATCTCTTCTTTTTTTCTCACGTTTATGCTCAATATCAGTGAGAGAGTTCCTATTCTAATTCTATGCTAGTTGCAGTGATATATTATGATTTTTATGATATTATACTTAGTATTACCGCAGATAAAAGCTATTGGGATGTAGCTGCACAAAACAATAAAAAAAGACAAAGGAGCGGTCGGAGCGGTCGGAGCGGAGCACATTATTGGCTACGTGATCTAAGTAAAATATGCACTCTCCAAAAAAATAAAATAAAATAAAACCCTGCTGTAACTCTTCACTGCAGCACCGTTTTAGTTGCTAAGCTAGCTTCAGAAGACGCATATAGCATATCATGTAAATTGTTATGTCTTCTGTCAACCCCTGCTTTACTAACTTCCACCTCACAGAAAAGTTTACTTTATCTCGGCTGCTTTGGAAGTCGCTACTTTGGTGTCCGCTCAGTATCAGATAGAAAAACAGATTAAGAGAAGATAAAATAAATTTACATTGGTATTCATCTTTAGACTCATGAGTTTAATAAAGTAACAGTATGATAGAAATAAATAAACAATGGCCTGTTATTCGTTCTTGTTAATTGCGTTGTCTGGAGAATGCAGCTTATCTCAAGAAATCATTGGCTCAACTTATTTTGGATTCTCTTGAAAGCCTCTATAGACGCTTTCAGGCATTCAGCGACTCGTTCTAGTCAAGCAACAGCGCTAGACAGGGCGAAAGAGATATCAATTATTACAGAGGATGGGACAGCACCCAGAAGGATAACAATTCGAGATACTGATGCAGCTGGGGCCCATACTAGGCTAGTCCTGACATGAAGGAGCTTCGGTTCAGGTTATAGCGACAGGTTAAAATAATATGCCCAGTTTTAAAATAGACGAGGGTAGTATGTCTAGGACCAATATCATATTTTCCTACAGCTGAACCCCATGGGTGCAGTTATTGGCCATTCTTGGTCTCTCTCAACAACACAATCTTGGATCTTTTCAGTATAGAACACGAACGACAGGAGCTGTGCAACGAGTGCACCAGCAAGATCTCAATAAAAGGAATACTTGCGCGATGGAGGCTTATTTTTTTGTTTGTTTTAATTGATGTTAGCATTTCACGTAAAACGACCAAAATAGGCATTCGTATATGATGTTAATTTTCGTATATCCCCGCGCAACCAAATGTAGCCGAATTTGAACTAACAATAATATAAACGCTCTCGCGAGGCATAAACATGATTATTCATTGGTGTATCTGCAGAACTGGCCTTCTATTGCTTAATTTTCTAGGGCTAATGATAGCACTCGAGAAGTTTGTACACTTGAAAGAAGAGAGGACGAATGTGTGGCAATATATTTTTTGAGCAGGAAAGGCGTATTCACCCTTTTGCACTTCGCTCAGATGAAGCTTATGCTTTGTATCTTTTGTAAAAGAGAGCAAGATAAATATGCCGCCTTGGTAAAGATTAGAAAAGTACTAAATTAAGGAAATGGATATAGTTCTTGTTCCTTTATTGTGCTAAGGCAATGTGCAAGCTCTGCTGGCATTGCAAATCTTATTTGTAAAATCACGTCCATATTTGTTGATTACACCAAACGATGTTTTCTGATTAAGCATTCCTGCTTAGCATGGTCTATTGGCGACAACATTATACCTGTTACTAGGGTTCTTGCAATTGAAAATGGTCAATTCACATCTGTTGCCAAATGTCCGGCGACGACCGCTTCTCTGCTGACCACACACAGGCTGGTAGATTCGAGTACATGCCTCTGGGCAAATTCGACGCTTGACTATACCCTCGTGTTGGTGGCGCCACTGCTCTGCCTGGCGCTGGGAGTCGAGGGCATTGATTGGTGTAGGACTTGCCTTAACAGCCATTTTCATGGTCATGATCGTGATTATGAAAATGACAATGAGCATGGTGGTGAGCGGTATGTGCGGGACAAAGGCACTTTTCATTAAAGGCATGTTGATGAAGAAACAGATGTGGGGAGAGGGTCAATACAAAAAATTTTGGTTCAGGTTCTGCAGGTCAGGACAAGTTATATAAATATCTCTTCCTAAAACCTTGCCCGGTCTTGGACACTCGAAAGTATTCACCGGAATTGGCTTAGTTGATATACGAGGGAAAAATTAATACTTGCTCTCTTCTCGTATAAGACATTCTATCTTTCGCTGATGATGCAAACTATGCTTTCAACGTTCAGATGATGTACGTTCTGAGGCGAAATTTCAATGGATGTGGCGGCTTTTTGAGAATAAGTGCCATGGCAACGAAGGTCGTTCTGTCCGAAACTCATATATATCTTGTGATATAAACGATCATTCTTTGCGATCAGAAAAGCGATATATCTGTTTCTAGCCATAATCACGCTACAAACGCTACAGTCCACTGAGCCAATGAGTTGGGGGCCGGAGCAAAACCAGAGGTTGGCGCAACCGATTGACTGATCAGGCTGCAAGTCCGTAAATCAGCTATTGTCCAGTTCTTCTCAACACAATATAATGCCACGGTAAGCCTACACCATTTTACATCCCAGTGCCGCACAATGAGAAAAAGAACTATGATAGTATGATAGTGTTGGTTTAGAGTTAGACACAGTCGTTTTTATGATCTGCAAGCATGTTGACATTGCTAATATATGGGAAAAGACAAGACTTTGAGCCACCGCGAAATACACAAACTTATTGATGATTTCTACCTAGCTAATGGCCATAGCATTTTTTCTTTTTTCCTCTCCAGCAAAAGCTGATATCTGGAGTAGGCTCGTCACCAGCCTGAGGACGAAGTTCATGTGCACATGTACGTGCTGAAAGGCAAATGTGGTTTGCTCTTGCAGACACTTCTCTCTCAGGCTGGTGACGAGCCTAACGGAGCCCCTTGGTTTCGCGCGAACATTTTTTCTAATCATCAAATCAAATCATCAATCCAATCCCTCCATTCCATGACCCTGTGGGTCCTTGTTATCAAAAAAAAAAAAAAAAAAAAAAAAAAAAAATCCAGTCGTGGAACAGCGAATGCAGCGAAGGCCCAAAAAATAATTCAAGACAAATAAAAACAGAGGGAGATTGATATCGAAGAATCAAAAGCAAGGTCGCTTTTTGGCTGCTACAATCCAGTTGCTGTGCATGCACCTTTCCTAAAACCCCGTATAGACTTAAAATCGAGTAAAATGCCTTGCAAAAAGAATTCTTCTTCGCCTCTGGGCTGGCGAAGTGCAAAAGATAAGAGAATGGCTTATGAAGCCCTAATGGATGCTGCAATAAGTGATTTATATATAGCTCAAATGCTGCCTCTATAGCCGTTCCTTTTTCTCTATTGAGAAGCTTAGTCAAGCGTGTACAAACCACAATCACTACTTAAGTTATAAATCGTATGCTTTATAACACTACTGCTTCGACAGCCTCGGCAGCATCTCCTGCAATGATGGCTGCTGTAACAACACATTTACCAAAGGGTTCCTCAAAGGAGATTCTAAAACTATTGTCTATGCATGGTTGACTTGCTGCTGTTGATTTACTTGCGGCGTTCCGAAGCTTTGTAGAAACTCCCTCTTCTGTTCCTCTAACTCCAGCTCTACCACTTTCCGCTGCATGCTTTCCAGCCTCTCCATCTCTATGTTATGGTTCAGTTGACATGACACTGCTAAATTTTGGCGAATCCTTGATAGTATTAGCTGTGCCCGTGGCTGTTGACCCTGTGGTGCTCGTCTCGTCAGTGGTTCTGAATCTTGCCATGCCAGTGGTTCTGGAGCTTGTGGTAGTAGCTCTTGCAGCGATGACTGTTGAAGTCGATTTTGCACTGACGGAGAAGCTTCTAGTAGCAGCTTTATAGAGTGTTGCAATGATTGGACTTCCCTCGGCTGTGTTAAATGAAGGCTTGGATTCCGGTGTAACTGCATCATTAATTATTGTAATATTTATCCCTTGGACATCTGGTGATCACTTGGCTGCTGCCTCTTTTACATGATGTCGGCGTTCAAATTTACTAAGATCTTGCACAAGTCTGATGCATGCTTCGGTATAAGAGGTGTCCAATCAATAGAGGACGAGATCGATTCGGGCGTTGTAATCCAAACGCTCTTACTGACAATCTTCTTTATCATATTGTCTGACATTACAGCATCTTGATCACACATAAAGTATATGTCACTGACCTCGGTGTGGAATGTATGATCTTTTCATTCAGTGATCGCTTGTAACATGCTCTCTTTTTCAGCCGCCGTTCGCCACATTCCGCGTTGATTAACACCTGCATTGGATCTTGCATCTGCCCGTCTCCTTGTCTTGTGCAGTATCTGGTGGTGAAGACTCATGCATTTCGGGATTACAATTGTCGCAGCGTCTTTCAACATTTTGGTGGACATTTCCGAAAAATTAATTTTAAAATGCTCGACGACAGCACTGAGTGTTGACAAAGGCCTTGATATCTTTGTCAACTTTACCTAAAGCTCTGGATGAGATAGGGACTATACCTTCGCCGTGAAGCTCTGGGTTACGCACCGCTCGACCAAGGCGCTGGACCAGAGATGATATATTGTCAGGATAGCCGTACTGCACCACGCGCAGAACGTCACTGATATCACACCCCATGCCCACCGCCTCGGTTGACATCAGAACGTCGATGTCGCCACTTTTGAATTGCTCCATTAGTTCCTTCTTTCTATCACTTGACTTGTTAGAATGATACAAGGCGACTTTGTTGGGACCAATTATGTTCCTGAGGTAGATAGCAGCAGAGTCGGCTTCATCTCTCGTCTGAAAATACACGATCGTTTTCTTCCTGTCTATTAAAAAGTGGAGATCCTTAAATAACGTTACCGCATGTTTCAACCGCCTCACAACGTATTCGACATTTTTCCTATCGTTGCCAATGTTCATTTCCTTCACGTCTTTGAAGCGCATCACACTAATAACCTCCAATAGAAGCGGAGGAGGCAAGGTGGCAGATACTGCGACAAAGCAGGTGTCTGGACTAACATAAGAGCGGAGGTAGCCAAGTTTCTTATAGCCCTTTCTGAACTTGCCACCCATGCTCCAATACAGTGCGCTTCATCCACAACCACCGCGATCAACTGGTATCTCCAGCCCGGACGGGCCTAAATTAAACTCAGCTTCGTACTCGCAAAGAGCTCTGGTGAAACGAATACAGCTCGATAGCACCCTTCGAATGCCTACTGACGCCAGTTTTTCGACCTGCTCGTTACCCAACACCTTCAGTAGCGTAATAATGAGTATATAGGTATGTGGCCAAAGTATCAGGGGCAGAAAATAGACCATTGTCTTCCCTCAGCTAGTACCAGCAATTAGGATGCAATCTTGGCGCTCCCCGATCCTCGTTACGATCTGGAGCTGCTCTGGTTTCGGATAAAACCTAAAAGCTTCATAGGCCTTTCGGTTGATAATCTCGAGGGACATGGGAGTTGTTTGATCTTCTATCGTAAGAAATCCCTGCCTCTCTAATACCATTCGCTTGGTATCACACTTTTTTCTCTTGTAACCAGAGGTTAAAAGGTTTTGTGCAGACATTTTTTTTTTTATATATAATTTCGTTTAGTTTTTAGGATGAGAGTGGTGAGAGGTATATTTCGTAGTGGTAATCGGATGAATAAATGAATTGTGAAATGAGAGCAAGAAAAACAGTAGCATGCTTCACACGTAGACCATTTTCCTGTGATCTGTAGGAAAAATGACTTAGAAAAAAGTTTGGACATTCATAGAAAAAAAAGTGTGTCCGGCGGCGAGAGCAAGCCACATTTGCCTTTCAGCACATGCATGTGCAGGCTGGTGACGAGCCTAGTCTGGAGCACATTCCCAAGGCTGACAACAAACCTCGCCTTAGCACACACATGACTTAAATTGCATAGGAGTTCACCATGTCTTTCCCTACATTTTTTTTTTTGTAATTAAAAAAGTTGACATGTAGTATTTATTTATTCAGGTCTAAGATGCTAAAATATTTAGCTGGTTCCTGCTCAGACAAGTATATATATACTCAAGGAGAGGTCAACAAAGGGTAGGAGAACGATATCTTGTCTTGTGTCCTGTCCCGTCTGAAGTACACTTTAGGTGCAGCAGCGCTGACCAAAGCGGCAGGGGTAGGGGTTATCGTAGAAGACGGGGCGATAACGGTAAGGGCAAGGATCATTCGGGCTGACTCAGCGGACGCCCTTGTCCTTGCTGGCCTGGGCTCCGCAGGTGATGCGTCCGCGGGTGACGGCCTCAACAGAGGATATGGCAGCGATAGGCGACAAGGGTAAGAGCAATGAGTTGACGGATCATGTTTGATTTGAATGATATAGTGATATTTGCCTATGATCCTTGTAGTGGGACTTGTGAGTGAATAAGGATCAATGAAGACAGAAACGAGCGTCTTTTAGACTATCGGGAACCAAAATATTGAATAGCGATGAGCGAGGCTGGTATGAGCTGGAAAAGCATGGCAATAGCACGTGGGCAATATCAATCATCGCATGGCTTCTGTTGATGTGAGATATGGGGAGGTGCTTTTTGTCAGTATTAACTATAATCACATCTGCTTACAACCTACCAATTGTCGAAGTACTTTAATGAACTTCTGAAGAAATGTTCTGATCGAAACCTTAGCCTGCGTCCCACAGTGAATGGTTTGCGGGAAATTAAGACATTGTTGATGGTGAGGCAGGCTTACAGCCAATGACACCCCCTTTCGACCACCTGGAGAGCCTTTATTGTCCGAGGAATGTTAAGGAGAAAAGAAATTAAAAAAATACAGTCGTGTGTGCTACAGCTTAGCACAAAGTGGAAACAAAACCTGCCAACCTATTAAAGACCTGGTTCGCCTTTAATACAATACAGTTCTGAGGGTAAAGGAAGGGATGAGATGACTTTTTTGCAAAATAAATAAGAGCCGTAAGGACGAGTCTATTCTGCTATTTCACTTGCCGGTTCTGAGCCATTCCTACATTTCTTATAAGTCTTGTAGTCTTGTTGCACTCTATTCAAGAAAGATTGATTCATCGCTCCCAATGTCGTCGTTAATTAGCTATTTCTTTTGCTTAACAAATGGGCAGCTTGTTATGATTAAATACAAACAAGAAAAAATCTTGTTTTCATCAGGCAGCTTGGTATCAATTATAAATACGACTTTGATCTAGGGCACGATAGTTACCAGTTCATCTATTTTAACCACATTCTAAGCAAGACCAGGGTCATCATAAATTCTAAGGAAGTAGAGCAAAAGAGAGCGAAAGAGAGGGAAGCTGGTGTTCTACCCTCATTTCCAAGATGGAACGCGCCAATTCCATAGTACTTGGACAGAAGGCAATATAATACCATTGATTGTCTCTGATCAGAACCGAATGAGATTAATGGAATCAGCAGAACTGTTTTTTGGGTTCCCAGAAACATGGGTAGGGTGTAGGAAGTGTATGCGATATGTTTAAATTGGGTTGACTTTCTGTCTTATTTTATTCATCAACTTGAAGTGCATTATCAAGCTAAATAGATTAAACAATAGCTTCGATACTGCTAAGATGTGACGATGTTGCATCCCTCCTCCTGATCAGTCTTTCTTATATGCAGCAACGTTCCCCCTTAAGGCAAGGCGATGGGTCATCATAATCAATAGCTATGGTACGATATCCACGTGGGCAGGGATCTGAGGCGCCGACGCAGAATACACCACGGCTAGGAGATGCTTGATCTTGACAAGAGATGGATGAAACAGAAGTCATGGCAGTCAGGGCGATGATGATAACAACGGTGATAGTATTGTTACTGAACATTTTTACGTCGATGTAAAGTGTGGAAAGGAAAATCGAAAATTTGTAGGCTTCCTCGGCTCTTTGCTTGAATTGGTTGAAGCACTTGAAGGGTATCAACGGGTTTGAGATAAATAGGTGTTGGGATTAAGGAAAGAAAAATGGCTTGCATCTCCTTGTCTTCTATTTATACAGAGGAAAATAAAGCAGATACATGATGGGCATGGGGAAAAACACTGTTCCCATCTTCGCATCCCCCTAGTCGTTCTATTTAGAAGGCCATTGGCGTAATGCAGTGGCGATAAACAGGAAAAATCGTACTGTCTTTGGATAATGATGAAAACGAAGACGAAGCGTAAGAATAAAATGAAATAAATGTATATCGATACTTCGTTGCAGATAAGCACAAGTCTCGCGTAAAAAAAAAAAAAATTATAGTGATATATGTAGTATTTATTCAGGCCTAAGATGCTAAAAGATTCAGCGGATTCCTGCTCAGACTTGTATATATACTCTATATGCCTTGGATGTACTCAAGTGGACTATAGGCCTCCAGGAGAGACGCTATCAAGCGATAGAAAACGTCTCATCTTGTCTTGCCTCGTGTCCTGTCTCGAGGACACTTTAGATGCAGCAGCGCTGACCAGAGCGGCAGGGGTAGGGGGTATCGTAGAAGACGGGACGGAAGCCAGAGGGGCAGCTTGTGCCTTTGGCGACGCAGCGGACGCCCTTGCTGCCGGCTTGGTCCTGGCAGGAGATGGCCTCAACAGAGGTCATGGCGACGACAGCGACGAGAGCGAGAGCAACGAGTTGGCGGAACATGTTTGGCTTGAGTGGTTTGCTTGAGTGGTTCTTGAAGAGAAACTGAAGAGCGAATGAAGGTCAATGGAGGAGGGGAAACGACTCTCTTTTATACTAGAGAAGACAGGACAAACAGCCTCTCACTCAACTCTTGGCTGCAACCACCAATGAAGGATAAGTCTTTGTTCTTCAACAATTGCCAATGACATACAGATACTTCAATCATATCCGGTTACTAATGCGATCGAAGTCACTGTAGCCAGCAAAAAGAAAAAAAGAAAGCGGCGTCTTTGCGCCACAGTGCACACAAGCCGTTAGTAGTCATTATAATATAATAGAAATACTATACATCCATCAGATCAAAGAGTCAAAGAAGCACACATGTTTATTCAGATAGCGGTAAAAGCAGAGTAATGGGCTTGAGGGGAAAGAAAGCCAAGGGTTCAGTCAATGGTATGATGATGACATATTACGCTAGTCTACAGTGGCAATATTGTCTCGCACTACGATCGTTGCAACGGTCAAGTCATAGAATGGCGTGGGTGCACACAATAAAGTGCGGCGTCTCTGATTTTACTGAGATGTGCATGTGCGCTACATGCTATCACAGGGAGAGAGGAGAGAGCAACAGAAAGGTCAAGCCAATCATGATGCTATGCAGGACAGGGACAGGTAGAGAGAGACAGGGACAAACTATATTGGGCAAGGGAAAAAGTAAAAAAAAATTCAGTGCACGCTGTACCGTACACAGACGGCGCAAACATACAAACATGCATCTAATTTATCAAGTACGCCTTTCACATCGAGGGAATAAAATGATAGAGCGCAACCGATTCACTGGCCGGATAGTGTCACACTAAATGGTTAGGTTGCATGAATGAGAAGATAAATAAAATAAACTATGATTGTGTATGTTTACATCCTGTTAAGCATATTAACGGTCGCAGGCCTAACGCCTCCTGCCCGCGGATCATTTCTCTAGACAGACAAGCAAGGGCGAAGGACTAATATATCTTTTATACCTGTATCTTATTCTAATTACTCAACTAACTTATACTATTTATAATACACATACTACAACGATAAGTATATATATATATATATTTATCTATATGGTCTTGGCCCATCTGCATGATCGTATCAGATGGAAAAGCAGCATGAGAAGAAAAAACAAAAAAAGAAATGGCTCTTGTGTGCAGACGAAGCATAATCCTTTCTAGTGCGCAGAATACATGCACGAACGAAACGCACTATGTAATTCCCAGAAACCTATCGTTGACCAACTCGATGCATTATGCATCGATCATTCTTTCCCTCTTCTCCCTCAACCGAGCATTAAAATATCCATTCACTTTCTGGTCTGGCTCCTGGCATTGAACCAATTAAATCTTTGCTCTCCTTCTCGAGCACTATACAACTATAGCACCACTCTCCATGATCCGGTTAAGTGTCAACTCTAGTGATATTTGTACACATTAGTTTACGCCCATAGATGTGAGGTGGATCTGGCGTAGCATTACTCAGTTTATCGATGTCGGAGTATGTTCTCTCGTTTCTAATGTCTCATGTTCTGTTCCAAGGCTGCCACGCTAAACAGTAGGGACATGCAAAGAGAGAGGGGGAGAAGAGGGAAAAGAAGGAAATAAAGGCTAGTGCAGTGGACGATGTTCACATCTGTCCCCTCCTATTTCCTGTCCCCTAGGTTCTTGCTCTTGCAGTTAGGCTGGACTAAGCACTGTTCAGCTGAACATTATCTGTTTGCTCCCTAACATACCATAACAACTGTTGAAAGAAAGAGTGGTCTCCTTTTTTCTAGCATTACGCTGGTGAGAGAAAACAACTAATTGTGTGTACTCAGCGGGTAAAAAGGGAAAAATGGAAAAAAAGAAAACAGAAATAATACGGAAATAAAAGAATAATGATAAGATCGAGTTAACCGCCATCAATGCCTTGGAGCGCATGAAGAAAAGGTCGCTTGAGCAACGAACATCGCAGCAATGTGTTCATATAAAATCGCACGAACCACATTTTAACCTTAAAAAAACCTTAAAGCTTGATTCAAATGTTTTCGCTACAGAGATGAGCCAGGTAAACATAGAATGAGGAAGGCTCTTTTTTCTTTCCCTTGCTGCCGATACTATGGCGAGCTATTGCATGGCATACTGAAAGTTTATGGGGGTGTATGGTACTTAGTATATACTTGTGCGGTGGAGGTAGAGCTGTGGGAGGGTGGAGCAATGGGAGAGTAAGATGGCAATACAAGCTGCTTAATAGCAAGGCGAGAAAAGAGAGAGAGAGAGAAAGGGAGGTGAGTAGAGGGAGAGAGGGAGAAGGAGAAGGAAAGAGGAAGAAAAAAAGCAAGAGCAGAGGATCGTGAGAAAAGCAACCAGGTATGAGGGCATAGAGAGGTTCTCATCATACACTGCACACACAGCTGAGTAAAATTCGAACTTCCTACAATGCTCCATCTTCTCACTCACCATTTCCAAGTCAGATATCCATCCCAATCATCTTCATAACAAGCCATATTGTATAACTACTATATCCGGGCAGGCAAGTAAAAAGGCTGCAGCAGAAGAAAAGCAGAGTAGTTTTTGTTTATAGTATTTCTTTTATTTCAAATGAGATATCAACTGTCTTGTACTTTCTCAGCCTTGCTTAGGGTATGTGCATATACACTAAGTGATCTGGCGAGGCCTTGAGTCTTGCTCATTCCAGTAACCAGCACTGGAGCTCTTTAGATGCAGCAGCGCTGGCCAGAGCGGCAGGGGTAGGGGGTATCGTAGAAGACGGGACGGTAGCCAGAGGGGCAGCTTGTGCCTCTGGCGACGCAGCGGACGCCCCTGCTGCCGGCTTGGTCCTGGCAGGAGATGGCCTCAACAGAGGTCATGGCGACGACAGCGACGAGAGCGAGAGCAACGAGTTGGCGGAACATGTTTGGCTTGAGTGATGTTTGTTTGTAGTTCTTGAAGTGACACTTGAGAGCGGATGGGGACCAACGAAGATAGAGAAACGAGCTTCTTATATATTTGTCGAAGCGTAGGAGATGACAAGGTATTAAGGTATTAACATAGTATATTCTTGCCTGACTGGCAGTGTTATCAACTGCGTGTATGAAGCTTGATCGCCACTTACTGTCTTCTAAAAGCAGTGCCCTAAACAGTTAAGTTGACACGAGTCGTCACTACTCTATTCTTGATCTTTTTCTGCATGCATACCCGAACTGATACAGGTATCTCACTTGGATATGCTCACATAGCTGATTTGATTTGGTGTCGGCCAGTGCATTGAGTTACTCAAATATATAATATATGGAGTCGTGACTAAAAGACTGGAACTAGTATGAACTACACCCGTGACTAAAAGACTGGAACTAGTATGAACTACGATAACCATAGCATTTAACACCAACGGTTGAAATCTAGCTTTGAAACAGACCCGTTTCCCTGATATAGGAGCTAAAATCTACGATTAAGTCAAATAGGGTGTGATATCTACTTATCCTCTGCTATACAGGGACAGGTGGCGTGTTCTTTTGTCTCTCATACGCACACATGTACAGGCATGGATGATGCGTGTTATATATACATATACATATATGTTTATTAGTATATGTCTATTCTACAAATCTATTGGAGCATACAACCAAGCGATATCTGTACCTGATACAGCCTACTAAACAGGCAAGCAATCCTCATGAGTGAGCTAACGCGCGTGCAGTCGACCCATTGGCCTCTTGATATCACATCCTTACATTGGAATGCATTATAGACCCTTTGTAGAAATTAAAGATATTATTTTCTTTGCTTAATACGAAAAAGCTGTATTTGTAGGGCGACTCCTGTAATGCCACTTGTGGGCTTTGCTGAGCGGCCTGAAGGGATTCTAGAAAAAGATGATTGTGCCAATCCATACATTAATATAGTGGGTGCAATAATATCATGTCCTATGAGGATAGGAGGTGCCTAAGAAAAAAAAGGGGGTCATGACTTAGAAGTTGTCTCTATTCACAGTGTTTATGCATTTCTATTTAGGTTTGCCTGCTCCAAAGTCATGACCAGTACTTAAGTGAACGTAGAACAGCATAAAGGGTTTTCTGGCTTTGATTAACGGACATTAAGAGAATTTATTTATTAGAGACATGCATTTTTAACGTGTAACTTCATCTTGGAAGCAGGCTATTACTGAAAACATTAAGGCTCTAATATTTGTGAATGCTCTGATGGAACTAAGTTGTGATAGTAGGTTTTTTATTGTTGGAAATGAAGGACTAGAACTACGAACAGGAATATATATCTCTACTAGATGTAGCCTTTCTACAAGGAACAATCTGGAGCCCAAATTTTACGGAGGAACAAAGTCTCTAGTAAATACTTAATGACAGCAAATAATACAAGTAATAACGACAATTGTGCCAATAGCTATAATAGTAATAGAATAAATCGTGTCCACTCATGGAACAAAGAAAGGATTGCTTGCCTGTTTAGTAGGCTGTATCAGGTACAGATATCGCTTGGTTGTATGCTCCAATAGATTTGTAGAATAGACATATACTAATAAACATATATGTATATGTATATATAACACGCATCATCCATGCCTGTACATGTGTGCGTATGAGAGACAAAAGAACACGCCACCTGTCCCTGTATAGCAGAGGATAAGTAGATATCACACCCTATTTGACTTAATCGTAGATTTTAGCTCCTATATCAGGGAAACGGGTCTGTTTCAAAGCTAGATTTCAACCGTTGGTGTTAAATGCTATGGTTATCGTAGTTCATACTAGTTCCAGTCTTTTAGTCACGGGTGTAGTTCATACTAGTTCCAGTCTTTTAGTCACGACTCCATATATTATATATTTGAGTAACTCAATGCACTGGCCGACACCAAATCAAATCAGCTATGTGAGCATATCCAAGTGAGATACCTGTATCAGTTCGGGTATGCATGCAGAAAAAGATCAAGAATAGAGTAGTGACGACTCGTGTCAACTTAACTGTTTAGGGCACTGCTTTTAGAAGACAGTAAGTGGCGATCAAGCTTCATACACGCAGTTGATAACACTGCCAGTCAGGCAAGAATATACTATGTTAATACCTTAATACCTTGTCATCTCCTACGCTTCGACAAATATATAAGAAGCTCGTTTCTCTATCTTCGTTGGTCCCCATCCGCTCTCAAGTGTCACTTCAAGAACTACAAACAAACATCACTCAAGCCAAACATGTTCCGCCAACTCGTTGCTCTCGCTCTCGTCGCTGTCGTCGCCATGACCTCTGTTGAGGCCATCTCCTGCCAGGACCAAGCCGGCAGCAGGGGCGTCCGCTGCGTCGCCAGAGGCACAAGCTGCCCCTCTGGCTACCGTCCCGTCTTCTACGATACCCCCTACCCCTGCCGCTCTGGCCAGCGCTGCTGCATCTAAAGAGCTCCAGTGCTGGTTACTGGAATGAGCAAGACTCAAGGCCTCGCCAGATCACTTAGTGTATATGCACATACCCTAAGCAAGGCTGAGAAAGTACAAGACAGTTGATATCTCATTTGAAATAAAAGAAATACTATAAACAAAAACTACTCTGCTTTTCTTCTGCTGCAGCCTTTTTACTTGCCTGCCCGGATATAGTAGTTATACAATATGGCTTGTTATGAAGATGATTGGGATGGATATCTGACTTGGAAATGGTGAGTGAGAAGATGGAGCATTGTAGGAAGTTCGAATTTTACTCAGCTGTGTGTGCAGTGTATGATGAGAACCTCTCTATGCCCTCATACCTGGTTGCTTTTCTCACGATCCTCTGCTCTTGCTTTTTTTCTTCCTCTTTCCTTCTCCTTCTCCCTCTCTCCCTCTACTCACCTCCCTTTCTCTCTCTCTCTCTTTTCTCGCCTTGCTATTAAGCAGCTTGTATTGCCATCTTACTCTCCCATTGCTCCACCCTCCCACAGCTCTACCTCCACCGCACAAGTATATACTAAGTACCATACACCCCCATAAACTTTCAGTATGCCATGCAATAGCTCGCCATAGTATCGGCAGCAAGGGAAAGAA